ATAGGTGAAATCTGTTCGAGGCTCAAACAGTATCCAAATTGGAATCCGAACACACCTATGAGCTCTTGACAACTAGGAGATCATTTTTGGACAAAATGTAGCAACACCACACTGCCCACATGCAGCCGCACTCGCTGGCAGCTCGTGGGTGGCTTGATAAATCTTTGTCGGCCAAAGAAACTCCAAACCGCCGGCCAAGCTTCCTACCCTAGGTTCAGAACATCGATTGGAGACACTTTTGTTCTCGGGCCTACCCCGAAAAATGGCCGGAAGTGGCCGGAATTTCAACCTGAAATCTGGCCAAACTTTAGGTTACAAATCGAGTTACCTATGCTAGAAATTTATCAATTCCTACCCAACCATTAGCTAGAGCACAAAAAATAGGTGAGATACCATACGTCACACGTCCGGTTTGGTGGCCAAAGGAAAGAGAACAAAGCCGGCGAAAATCAAGCAAAAAACCAGCTATTTCCATCAATTTTCCTGTGGATTTCAGCGGCTGCTAGCGACGGGGTGGCTGGGGTTTGACGGCGGAGCTAGGCTGGTTGCTTTGGGACCGGTTTCATGGGTCGAGGTGGCCGGATGGTTATAGAGGTCGGGGTGGCCGGATGGGTGGTCTACCATAAACAATGTATCATATAAATTGAGTATATTCCTTTTTTATTCAGAAAACCCAAGTATAACTTTCAAGGTTAACATCTTTTGGGGTTTGTCCTGTGGGTTTGTTCCTTCACGTTCATTCTCATCTGTAATGGAATTGTCTCTTTCCATTTTTTGCCAATGATGTTGTCGACATTTAATAATAAAACGTAATTCCAATCAACAAAGCCCATTGATGATTTGAGTAGCTATTCCAAAATCAAAAATTATCATTCATCAATTCGTGATCCCACCATTCTCATGTGCATGTGCATGCATTAATTATAAGCATTTCTTTGCTTTTGGGTACCCAAGCCACTTAAGGGGCTTTTATTGTCTCTTTCCAGACAGACATCTCTTATAGGATGAATTATGTGAGAATGTAGATCATAACCTCCAATGGAGTGTTATTTTACAGTAGGGTATGGATAGTCTCCATTTAGGGAGTTGGAACATTTAGAACCCATATATCTGTAATGTTGCAGATATGCGACAAATTAATACATACATGTCAATTACTGTAAACCAATATAATTTGCTATGCATTAGGCTTGCACCATAATAATATTGACATGTTAATGAATTGTCCTTCGAGGACTTCAATCCATACCAATTGCTACGCAATAGGCGTGCATCATATTGATCACTATTATACCCATGTTATGTTCTTATGTGACTTTAATCTATGCAGTGTATTATCAATGTATTCAACTTGCAATCTGTGAAATTTGCATTAATAATTCATGAATACATATCAGAATGATACAAGTCATTCTTCTGGAATGGTCATAATACAAGTCGTTCTTATGGAACGATCTATAATGCAAGTCATTCTTCTAGAATGGTCCTTTGCATGGCATTCTTCTGGAACGACCTTATCTCCCCATTTGGCTACCTTTAAAGATGTCGTACAAAGTATCAAAATAAGAGTACAAGCATGAAATGACAAAGTATTGCTTACATCCTTAGGTGGGAGAAACATTTCAAATATCATTCAAGCTCATATCTGCTCAGAAAATACAATGCAATGCTTGATGATCTAGTTATATCCTGCAAGAGTAAAAATCACAATTCTTCTGTCTCTGTCAAAAAATAACCCTCAGTGTTAGGATCACTATATGGATTCTTTCTTCATATGTTCGTTCTAAAGAAATAAAATCCCTTGTGAACAGAGAGTTATAAAAGAAAGAAAAGATACAAAGAATTGTGATATTGATTGCAAGGTAGGTAAGCAATTAGGGAAGGAAACTGGTGAGGTAACATACAACAAACTCTCATTTCTCCTAGCATAGAAGAACTTCATGAGATTAGAGCATGTGGTTGTCCTTACAGCTCCCCGACATCACCGAAAAGTGATCAGGGATAGTCTCGCTTCCTGAATGGATGATCAGAGATATTCTTGCTTCTCAAGCACATCAAGTGCTCACTGATAGGAAAAACAAGTGCATATTGCATCACTAGATACGGAGAAAACTTGATGTATTCTGCAAAGAAGATTTCGTTAGTAACATATTTATACACAAATTAGAAAAATAGGTAGATCTGGTGAATTTCAAATTAACCATAGAAATTTGTGAGGTTCTCGAGATGCTTTTGAAAAAGTAAATTCGTGAAATCCGCAAAGCAAGATCGGCTTTGACGAAAATCCTTGAAAATCCCTAAAGTGCCGACAAACATTTATGGAGACCGTGTGAAGTCTTGGAATCTGGAAAAGAAAAAGAGAATATGGGGATCCGAGAAATTTTTGGGATCCTGAAAATGGTGCCACATTTTCATCCATAGATATTGCCTCTGCAAGTCCTAATTGGAGTAACTGCATTTCAACTCAACTTCCTTCCATTTTTAGAAAATTCAGCTTTTCTAATACTTTCCTCGAACCCCATTTAAAATGGCCTCCTCTTCTTCTCCCCCAAAGCATCTAGATTTAAATGTTGCTCCCAAAATAACCCGTGATGCCAAAGTCTTGCATCCATCCTTTGTATCCCAAAATCGTCATCTCACAATTAATGATTCTGTGATGATGAATGATACAACTACTGTCATAGTAGCTAGGAATTTCCTTACTCCTATGGATGAAATACTGTTAACAGGAAGATCTGACGAAGTGGCTATTGATGACTTAATGGCTTTTAGTATTCAGAGTGCTACTTCTGTTTCTAACATGGCTGATCGTGTGCGTGCCAGAGCAAACGAGATTCATGAGCTAAACACTGAAAATTCATCTCTTTGGAGAATGCTTCATGAGTCTCAGTAAGAGGTTGAAAAACTTAAAGAGGAAAATAAGGCCTTGTTGAAACTGGTGAGTTTATACTCCATTGAAACGCAGACAAGGCTTGACATGCTGCAAATTTCCAATGAAAAGATTCTAGGAGACCACGAGAGGCTTATGGCTAAGCTTAAGAGGCGTCGTCCTCTTCCTTCATAGGCTTCCAAAACATAATGGAATTTTATAGATTTTACAGAGCCTGCTCCTTCCTTGCAGGTGAAAAGAATCTATTTGTTGTATGCTCCTTTCCTGTTATAATAATTGGGTAAATTCTTAAACTTGCACTTGTGGTTTTTATGTCTTTTCAAAATGACAGTTTGGAACCTTGTGCCTTATAGGTTCGAATAACCACATCAAATCTCTCAAATTACATATTTCAATGCATGTGAGTCTGAAACTTCTTGTGCCATATTTCAATACATATTTCAAATCTCTCAAATTACATATTTCAAAATGACAGTTTGGAACCTTGTCCCTTTTCAAATGGGCATGAAATATAAATTGAGTAAAAGCCATGATAATATTGCAATATAGTAGTGAAGAGCATTAACTACTATATACCCAAAACTTCAGGTTCGAAATCTCTCATATATTTGGATCCATAGGCTTCCAGCCCAGATTATATAATATAACAAAATATGTGGGGAGCCTCAATTTATCCTTTGAGGTTTATCCTGATATTATCCATTTCGCAGTGTATTCTTAACAATCGGAATTCACAAAATATATTTCTTCCTTGAGGTGTCGATTCTAACATAATCGAACTTTGCTAAATTCATCATTTTCTTATGCCAAAGAAATATGTGGTATACCACAATTAATAATACCTCAAGGGTCGTCCATTTAACTGTTGAAACTTCAGGTTCTTAATATTGTCATATTTTGAACTTTGTGCTGATAACGTGTTATGAAACTAGAGGAATTGTAGAAAGAATTGAGGTATAGAGAAAATGTAGAAATCTGATATTTTCATTGAGAGTTTCTTTCTGTGTTTTACGAACGGAAGGAAGCCTTCTTTTATAGGCAAAGGCCTTCCTAGAGAGAGGAAAGCTGTGGGCTCCACTTATTAGTTTTACAACAAATTTTTTTTTCTTTTTTCTTTTTAAGAAAGAAGAAACGTACAAGACGGTGGTTGTAGAGCGCAAGAAGACGGTTGGTGCAAGCAAATAGGCATAAAGATCACGTTTCCAAAGGATTCTCTGGAATTTGGAAGTACCTTCCCCTGCTTTGCTTGCACCATTGATATCGTGTCTATCTTCTAAGATGTTGAGCAACACCTGTTCCCTACTTTTAATTTCTTCCTAATTCCTTTCCACCCATCTGTCCAATTCCTTTCCAATCCCCTCATCAAACCATATAAACCCTATCCCTCTTTCTCCCTACCGTCTAGACCCTTTTATTGTCTGCATTTTCTTCCTCCTCCAAAAACATAAACACTCAAGTATATACAAGGAAGCTAATTACATTTAATTATATGTATATATATATATATATTTATTTATTTATTTATTTATTTATTTATCTATATGTACAAACCGATCAAACCGAACCCATGTTAACAAAACAAAAAACAAAAAACTTCAGCGGGAAAATTGAATGCGAGCTGCAGGTTGCAAGCTCAACTGTGGCATGGGAATTAGGATTTAGCTAGATTCAATGAACCGACCCAAAATATGCGTATATATAGAAATGGACGTTATAATTATATCATATATAATATATAAAATACTATTAAGAGAGAGTAATTAAGGAAAAATGGGATAGTGGTGGTGACGAGTACTTGTCCCGGCTTTATGTGAGTAAACGTTGTCACTCAAATATTTGGTGATTGCCGAGCGTCAGTCAGCAAGGCCCCTTGGCGTACACTGATCTTCGCATTCCCAGAAACTGACAATTCCAGCTAGGAGACCTTCTTCCCTCTTTTCACAAAGCAGACCTCACCCTCTCCTGCATATCACCACCCAGCTCATACACCGTACTACAGATGCAGAGAGAGAGAGCAGTGTGTGTGTGTGTGTGTGTGTGTGTGTGAGTGTTTGTGAGAGCGAGCGTTACTAAATATTATTGAGAATTCATTAATTAAAATGACCCAAAAATGGCCGGTGTTTCCAAGGAGACTGAGGTTGCAGCAGCAGCAGTGAGAGGCAAGGCAGCTGACAAGCAGATTGTGATGGGGAACCAGAGTGATATTCATCCTGAAGCAAGCAGCAAATGCGCTTGTTCTTCTTCTTCTTCGAGGTCTTTGGAGAGCCAGGGAGGTAGAAGTGCGCCGCGGAGACGATATCCATGTCAGAGAAGGCCGAGAGATTGCCCGCTGGTTTACCAACCACCTGCTCGCCCGCTACGTCTCCCTATTCATCCTCCTCCATCTCTACCGCCCCGTGTAAGCTTAGATCCTTCTCTTTTGATAATCTTGTGGCTATTTTTAATCATATATGTAGCTATCTATGTGTTTCAGCCTCGATGTAAGGGTTTTTCTCTCAAAGACTGATTTTTGTTTTTTCCGTTTTACACAGCTGGACTTAGGGTTTCTCTCAGGGCTGATAAACTTTTAGATGATGTCTCTATGGTTTTCCCCCTAATCTCTTCATATAATTTCTGTTTATATGTATGTCATGTCTCTGATATGAATTTAGTCTTTGAATTTTTTAAACTTAATTTTCTGATATGATTCCCCGAATTAATTCCTTTTCCCTCCTGATTATTTGTCAGATTCTTTTCATTTTTATTGTTAAATTATCATAACCTAGCTAAGATCTATGACAGAGTACTCAATTGAAGAGCTATTCGACATAGCTTTGGTTAAATCGTCTTTCGTTTCTCCTTTCCTAAAGCAGGGCCCAAGAATCAAAGGGGTACTTTGATCATATATATGGTTGTTTGCACTGTTGTAGATGTCACATATGCTTCTGTTGGTTTCATTACCATTAAGATCACAACAAATTAATGTTAATCTTACATCGAACTCTTGTTGTGATGATTTAGCAAAGTTTCTTAATACATATGTACATGTAATGCTTTCCCTGCATGTATGTTCACAAAGGCACGTTAGCATCTACGTATTGTAAGTTAGGTAATACCATTATCACTTTTGAGCGTATACTATTTCAAAATCTTCACAAATTATTTCATGTCTAGTGTCAATTATATGATAACTAAGGTAAGTTAGGTAAAATACACATAAATATGTATTGTTTTCATACTATAATCCCAAATTATTTTGTGCAGAGTGTCAATAACATGATAATGATTTTACTGCTTAAATTAGAATAACGTATGAGTCTGCATCAATTATTTTGTGTCTTATGTCACTTTGATTGTTGTCGTTTATCTTTCGAACATATCTCTATATCTTTTGACCAAATTAATTGTTCTATCTCATTTATAATTTAAGATAACCCTTTGATTTAAAACTAATTTTCACCAATTAATAACCTTGGAGATATTACATTCCTCTATCGTGAGTGAGTTACATTTGAAAAAGAAAAAACAAGCATGCCACATGATCTAATGTTTAAAATGATCAAATAGCCACATTATATGTACACACCATACTAATATGCACACATTTAAATATCATTTTGCTTATTGCTGTCATTATTTATTGACAGATATGTGTGTATTGATTTCAGGTATTCAATCCGGAGCTGATGAGATTATTATTTGAGAAAAAACTACAAAATAGTGATGTAAGCTCAACTGGACGCATTGTTATACCAAAGGTTTGAGCACTTCACTAGTCTAAGTTAACTAATTAGGTGGCTTCATGATTTCATGTGATCAGGAACAATGTAATATATATACATATGAGACACAATTTATATATAAAAGTTTATGAACAGAACCGATGTGTATCGAGTCTTTCTAATTTCCAAGCTGAATGTATATATAATAACAACTTATATATGAACATATTGCTTCAGAGAGAAGCAGAAGTCCATTTTCCTGTCCTGGAAGGAAGAGATGGACTCTGGATGCATTTGGACGACATGGACTTTATGCATGTTTGGACTTTCAAGTTCAGGTTCCCATTAAGCCAAGTCCTACTTTTTTTCTCTCTTTTTTTCCCTTTGATTTAAATAACAAATTATATATATTATGTGATCTTTTTCACAGGTATTGGCCCAACAACACCAGCCGAATGTACTTATTTGATAATACGAGTGAGCTCAATCTCCAACTTAATTGCATCATTTCATGTCTTTAAATTTAAGAATTATGTTCTGATCTTTTTCTTATTAAGAGGAGCGATAATATATTAAACTCACACACACTGTACGAATGCTAGAACTCGAACCTAAACCTTTTCTGAGAGAACGATTGCTCCAAACCCCGACGCTAGTAGATTCTTTGCAGAATTATGCTCTGATTAATTAACTATCATTTTTCAGGGAGCTTAATTGAGATACATAACCTAGGTGTGGGGGATTCCCTTTTTCTGTTTAAAGATGATTGGCGCGGATCATATGTAAGTGTTTACATATACACCACAGCTTAGTAACTAATTATAAATTAATTTCTTGATAATTAGTTTTAACTTTTCTCCAGGTTCTCCGAGCTAAAAGGGACGCTATGCGAGAAATAACTTATCCAATCACACAGACCACCCTTATCTTGAAGCCAAGACCACCTTTTGATCATTCGCAGGTCGTCTCCGGTGTTATGGATGCAAACCCAAGTAATTTGCTGGATGTCATCAGAGCAGCTGAAATGTCCGCTGTGCCAGCTGTGGTAGATCGTCTTCAAACAACAGAGATGGAGGAGGACAACGTTAATGTGAACATGGATATGGCGGATGCAATGAGTTTTCCAACTTTCGATCATCAAAGAGCAGAGGCTGATGAGAACATTGACGTTGATGGAATAGCGTTTCCATCTTTGGATGAGGATATTGATCGGTTTTTCATTTGGCCGCCACTCTGTTCCAGTGATTCCGGCACCGATTACACTTACGACCACCCGGTCGACGAGTTTTTCGGTATCGGAGTGGAACAAATGGAGCCGTTCTATGGACATCCTGGACGATCACCAAGTATTGAGTTTGAGTCCATTAATTTCTCTATCTTCGACTGAAACTCTCATGTAATCGCGTATGAATCAAAACTAGGTTATGTTATAATGTCACTTTGTAGCTTTTTCTTTTTCTTTGGTTCCATGTTGTTGTGGGGTGTATATATGTGATGAATAATTTCTCTTTTTTTTATTTTATATAAAGTGGGGTCGAATTGTAAGTCAACCGGCCCGTCTAGCTCAGTTGGTAGAGCGCAAGGCTCTTAACCTTGTGGTCGTGGGTTCGAGCCCCACGGTGGGCGAAATTTTGTTTCTGTTTCTGTTTCAAATTCTATCTAGTCTTTTTTGGGCCAGAGTTGTGATTTCTTTGGGTTATTATGGTTTTATAAGCTCCAATTGAGAAGACCAGCACTGTGCCCGTCTAGCTCAGTTGGTAGAGCGCAAGGCTCTTAACCTTGTGGTCATGGGTTCGAGCCCCACGGTGGGCGAAATTTCGTTTATTTCTGTTTTAAATTCTGGCTGCTCTTTTTTGGGCCAGAGTTTTGATTTCTTTGGGTTTTGATAGTTTTATTGGGTCAATTGAGAAGACCAGCACTGTGCCCGTCTAGCTCAGTTGGTAGAGCGCAAGGCTCTTAACCTTGTGGTCGTGGGTTCGAGCCCCACGGTGGGCGAAATTGTGGTTTTTCTGTTCAAATTTTTGGCTACTCTTTTTGTGCCGAAGTAGTGTAGTGCTGGTTTCTTTGGGTTTTTGACCCTTTTATTGACTCAATTGACAGAACCCATTTGTACCCTAGAACCCAATCCGTGTGGTGAATTATCATTTCAATTCTTCAAGGTTTGGCGTTGTGTTGCCTCATGGAATTGCAATTTATGACTGTCAAATTCCCTTGAAGTTCCATTTTGTGGGCCAAATTTTTGATCAAATTGGCGCGTTTTAGACTTTAAGTTGAATGCTTGTCAAATTCCCTTGAAAGTTCATTTTTTGGGTCAAAATTTTGATCAAATTAGGAACTTTTCAGTTCAATTGTTGGTTTTTTGCGGCGAAGCTACACTGGGTTTTGCTTGTGCTTTGATGAAATTCATGCTCATTTGAATTGAAACACAGAGTGGGTTGATGGATGATGGAACCAAACTTTCTTTGCTGGGAACATGGATGGCTTTGTTTGTGTTATTTGCTGGAAGGAAGTTCACTCAACAGTTCAGTTACCATTTGAGATTAATAATAATGGCCAACACATTTGTTAATGAACTGTCTTTCACTTTCAAGGATGGCATTGGTGACAAGATATCAATTAATTACTGGGCCTAGTTCCATTGCAGTCCAAAAATATTAGACTATTAGGCTCAGATTTTAGAATAAATAAATAAAGGCAAAAGGTCCATTTTGATCCCTGCCGTTTATCATTTTTATTATTAAGGTTCATGTAGTTTCAATTTGAAACAATTCAAGGACAATTCTCAATTTTTGTTAATTTTTTTAAACTCTGTTATTTTTAGAGGGACAAATCAGTCTATAAGTTATTAAAAAATTCATTCCTTTAAAAAATAAGCAATACAAAAATAAATTAAAATATATAGTATTAATATAATACAATATGTTTAAAGAATAATGCTACTCTTACCACATTTGTATACCACATCCTTATACCATCTTATATGGCAGCTAAGGTGGGCATCAACATCAATTAAAATTATTTGATATTTACTTTTCTTTTATGATTTATTCCAGTATTTATTTTTCTAATTGTCTTAATTAAAATACGCTTCATTGATTTAATTGATGTAACATATAATATGGACATGCCACATCATGTGGTATAGAAATATATGATAAAAATGTAATAAGTGTAACATTACTCATGTTTAAAACCAAATAAAAAATAAAAAATTCCCTAGGCCCAGCAACCCCCTCCCAATCTCTCTCCCCACAACCACCCTTCGCCGACCCACCCCTCACGGACCCGCCCCAACCTCCTCTCATCTCTGCACAGCCCCACCTCCCCTACCACCCGCACGATCTACAGCCCAAGCCCAGATAGCCAGGCCATTAGTTGCTGAGCCAAGCCTCATTGTTGAATCCAAGTAAGGAAATGGCAACCACATTGAACAAGTGGCTCAGATAGGACCCTTGATCAAAACTTCCACAATCAAATTCATGTGCCCAATTCTGTTTATGCAAATTAGCAATACATTGGAGAAGTTATTTGGTGAGATACACTGACCGTGGCACAGTTGCTTGGTGTTACATTCCTTATGTTATAATACATATTTTATTTATTAATTTTATGTCAAAATAATAAATCTAACGTGAATTGATAACACTATATGCCGATGTGACGGTCAAATGCAACAAGTTTTTTAAGAAGCTGGTTCAAACAAACTATTACACAAAAGTTGAATAAATAGTATACAAATCATGTACAATGACTCAATGATTCACCATGTCTACGTTAATGCCTACATTAGATGTCACCTTCCTAACTTTTGAATGGGGTAGGGTTATGAGGAGAGAAAAATGAATGGAGATAGAAAATTAAAGCTACGTGGTGGAATTGAAATTTTCAAACATTTTATTACAACGACAACGACAAGAAAGGAAAGACATATGAGATGGATGGCTCACTAAACCATATTATTATTTTCTTTATTTTAAATTTAATTACACCACAATATATCTAGCAAATAAATAAATAAAATATTTTGGTCTAATGAAGGGATTGAAAGAGTTGATGCTATTCATCTGATTCCTAATCCTCCTCTGGCTAACATGGTCATCTGCGCATGGCTAGGGATAGCAACGGGTCGGGTAGGGGCCGGGTATAACAATATCATCCCCGTCCCTGCTCTCCATCCCCGCCCCCGTCCCCGAATCCATCCCCGTTTAATAGGTTTCGGGGAATCCCCGTCCCCGTCCCCATCGGGGGACTATCCCCCATACCCGCTCCAAATCCCCGATTTTTTTTTGCATAAAAAAATATTTATCATACATTTTAACATTAAGTTTCATATTAAATTATCATTCAACACATCCAAATTAACTATACAGTTCAACTCAACTATTCAAAATCATATCAATATGAAGTTCCAGAGAAGATTAGGAATAATTAGGAGAAGGAGGTTAACTTAGGGTTAAACATAAATATTATAATTATATATATATTTATTTAAGTATAAACATATATATTTTCGGGTTGGGTTCGGGGATGGGGACGCCAATACCATCCCCTCCCCATACCCGTCGAGGATTTTTCAAATTCGAGGATCCCCGTACCCGATACCCGTTTAGCCTCGAAATCTCCCCCTATTAGGGTCGGGGACTTGACAGGGACCGGTCCCCGTGGGGATTTTTGCCATCCCTACGCATGACTGCTGCCCGCCTTGTTTTTGTGTTTTTTCGCCCACTGAATATTCTTTAAGTTGGACATCCCCAACCTTACTTCCGAGGCTCGACTTAAGCTTTTTGAGAAGAAATTTTCCTTCCACTCTCACCTCTTGTAGACCCTCCCTCTCACGAACAACCTTACTACCATATATACCGCCAACCTTACAACCATATATATTGCCAGCGTTACTACCATAGGTATCAGAAATCTTAACATTTGTAACTCCTGACACAGAAATTAATCAATCAATCAAATTCAAAGTATAAAATGATAACTTTTGAAAAGATGGAAACATATGTGTGTATATATATATAATCCCCTTCTATTGAGGGATCCTTCAAATAATTTTATTTGAGGGAAGTCCTTTAGGGTACCCTACAATTTTTTCCCAATGATCCAAACCATCTATTTTTTAGGTCTTTTTTCATAGATCATCCTTACAAAAAATTAGACAAATCGGAAACCGTTTCGACATCTAATTGTATCATACAATTAAGAGTACTAAAATTTCAATAACTCAATTAAGTGGTCAAATGATATCAGATTTAAATGATTTTTTGTAGAGATGATCTTTGAATGAGTATCTACAAAATAGACTATTTGGATTAGTGAAATACAATTTGGTGTGGGGCCTACAAAGAGTGTCCCTCAAATAAGTATTTGAGGAATCCGTCAATGGAAGCTCTCTGTATGTATAATAGTCTACATATATTAAGATGGAAAAATATAAAATTGAAAAGCAATGGAGAAAATATGAGGCATTTCGGTTCAGGGTCACAGACCTTTGACTTGCTCGCATCTTCTTATCACATCATACCGACGATAACCGTTGTTATGGAAGGAGAACACAGCAAATATGCACATAACCTAGAAAAATAGAATAAAACAAAAAAAGTTGAATAAATAAAAAAATTATTGTTTAAAGTGAAAGCCTATTGTGTATCAAAAGCAGCGCAAAAGTAATACTACTACTTGTTATATATTGACTATTGAGAAACATTTTCAAATGCCAACCTCTTCGTCTTTTCCACAGCTTATTTGCTTGAACCACTTAAAAGTCTTCATGCTTCAAAAATTCTTCTTCTTTCACCTCTTTCTTCTCTTCACTTGTCTTGCTTTTTTGCTTGTTTTCCCCTTATTTAACAATGAGGTACGAGGTCGAACTCACGCAAGTACGAGGTCAAACCCACAAGGACTGATAAAAACAACTTAATTAACTAAATCGCACTAAACCCAATTAAAAGAATGATTGATTGATTTGAGTGATGAATTAAAGAAAATTTAAATTGCAAGAATTAAAAGAAGGAAAAATAAAACACTCAACAAAGATATAATTGAAAAGAAATCAAGTTATGAAGATCTAAGGTTATGAATCCACCAATAACAATCCTATTTCCTTTTCTTACAGCCAATTACTATCCAATTATGATACCAATGTTAAAGGTTGTTCTTTCTAAAGTATGAAGTAAGCCTGTCAAGGTCATAAATCGTGTATCCCTATATGTAATTCTACCTTGTCAATGTGTTAAAATTTAACATATAAGAACCCGTTAAAATTAGAAGAATTCAATCAACCAAGTAGGACTAGCGGATGGCGTTTCTCTCCTAGCTATCTACTCTTCTTAATCTTAGTTCCAATAAACCTAGTGGATGACGTTTCTCTCCTAGATTTATCCAATCATCTAGATGCAAAGTTTCTAATGGTGATCAAACAATAGGATTTCAAACTTAGAATAAAATTCACACAAAGATTAAGAATCTAACACGGCATATAATTGAATAGAAATCAACAAAGTACTTCGCAAATAATCATGTCATGGCTTCATCATAAACCTTAGAAAGAAATTTAGTTACACATAATCATAATAAAAATCATAAGAAAAGTCGTGAAGAAATAAAACCTGGAAAATAATAGTGTTGCACACGCTTAAGCTCTCTGTTGTCTCTTGAATGGAAATTTTGTAAAAGGTAGTTAGAGAGAGCTTAAGGTGGCCTTATATAGTGCAAAAATAACTAAACCCTAATCTCAAAAGGTCTGGAAAAACTCTCCTAAAACAAAACAAAACCCTACACAATTAAGGCACAAACTAGGAGAGAATCCTTCTTTGACTGGGAGACACGTCAGCTGACTTGCATGAAATCTTTGGGGTCGTTCCACTACCTAAAAAAATCTGGAATAATATGGGAAACGTATCTTTATCTCTAAGCTTTCCAGGGATATATTACACGTCACTTAGAAAAATCGAGAAGGTCTTCAAATGTTCAATCTCCCATAGCAGCACAGTTTTGACGGGAATGCAGTTTTGACTGTCTTGACTTGGAGTTCTGGACCAATTGGCTCCATAGAAAATTATGAAAATTTGATACAATGATCTTCAATGTCTTAGCTTTCGTCTCCAACTGGCTTTGCCCTAAAAATCCTCCGAAAAGTTTATTTTCCTTCAAAAACCTTATAAGAGTGCAGAAAAGCTGAAAATAAGGAAAGTAAAGGAATAAGGCTCTTTTTAATCAACTTTCCCTACAAAACCCAAATATAAAGAGTCTAAAAATATAAGAAATAAGGCACTTATCACCTGCCATAACATATCCGAATATCTTACTTCAAAAGATGCTTATGAACGTCTTAAACATAGTTTTATGCATTATTTGTTGATTTGTCCTTCTAATTTTATTCGTAAAAATAATAAATAAAAAAACAAATGGATTAATGCCCTCAAAATAGTTTAGTATCATTCGGTCCACTCAATACAAGCGGGCAAAATCATCAGTCATTTACCCTGCATCTGTGATAATTTTTTTTAATACAAAATAAAAAGAGTCACTCTAAAGGGGTTTTAGGCTATTTCTTAGGCATAGTTTAAATTATTGTTTGATAAAAAAATATAAAATATAAAGAAACGCCATTTGGAGAATTAATATTCTAACATATTCTATTATTTTTAAGCTTATTTACTGTAGTGCCCTCTGAAACTATGGTCAAATCCTACATTGCCTCTCGAAAGTCAAACTAGCCCATATTACCCCCTTGACCAAGATTTGGTGTTCCATTTTGCCCCATGTCGTCATCTCCATTCATAACTCCGCCAACTTGATAACGTGGCATGGTTAGATGAGTAATTTCGTACACGTGGTCCCTTATCCACCTTTAGCTTGGACCAAATAAAAATAAAAATTAATTTTACATTTATTGAATACTTCAAAAATAAAATAAAATAACATAAAATTGAAGTAATAAAAGCCCAGATCCGATCTCCCCCAGTCCCAATCTCCCTCACCCTCCGAGCACTTCAGCTTGTCAAATTCTTCGTCAATGAAAAGAAAGAACGCCCCCTCCACTCCACACCAACTAGGGGTGGGCATCGGGACCGGAAAACCGGAACACCGAACCAAACCGGTGAAAAAAAACCGGTTGACCAAAAAAGTCTACAAATCATACCGAAACCGGACCAAATCGGTTCCAACCGATTTTGGTTTTACACCCCACCGCACTGGACCAGACCGAACCGGACCGGTCATATATTTTTTTTTATTTTTACAAAATTTTAAAATCTAATGTCATATTTTAAATTTTATAATCACTATTTTTCCAAGTTCAAGTTCAAAAAATTTCTAAATGTATGAATTGGATTATTTGTTAATTTTTAAGCCAAAAGAATAAGTTATTTATTATAATTTTTTTTATAAAAAAAAATATTTTAAAAATAATAATAATAAATTAATAATCCGGTTCAAAACCGGAATCGGTCAGAACCGAACCGGTCGGTTTTTGAAATTTTTTTGCCTAAACCGGACCGGTTAAATAATACCGGTTTCAATTCCAGTTTGAAGTGAGAATCGGACCGAACCGGACCGCACCCACCCCTAACACCAACCGTCTCTTGCAAACACAATGTGAATATTAAATATGTTCTAATATAATTGACAGTGCTAATATTAAAAACCAAAGGATAACTGTTTACAATGTACCAACTTAAGCTTTAATGTGAATTTGTAGTTTTCTTTTTAATAATTGATGAATGTTTAATAATCTATTTTATGGGTTCAATCATGTTTTTCTCATTGTGTAGTAAAAACTTTCTTGCTTTTAAAAGAGAAGAGAATTACTAAAGATTAATAGAATTTCGATGAAGACTATTTTTTGATAGTTTGTTGCCAATGGTACAAGTTATGCTTAGAATACTTCTAAAGGAAATTAAAAAACAATTACACTGGAAAATATTTTGTGGATCAAATTACTAAGAGTTGCATGCTTATGTTAAAAGTAGAACCCCAATGCCTTATTGTTTTAATCAATTAAATTTTCTTTAAATCAAATCCTGTTTAAATCTACTTCTCAATCACAATTGTTCTTTTTCAACTATGTTATTTTCTTTACACCGCTCTTTATGGATATGACGCTCAGACTTTCAAGCTATACTGCTATACGACACCTTCGCTTGGGTTTTGCAAAGTGGTACAAATGAGTATGGCATCCTCAAACGGACAAACATTGAACCTGGTTCAGGTTGCAGTCCAGTGACTGTCAGTTAGAGGGAATTCCGTCCGATGGGCCTCTTCCACTGCTCGAATGAAGTTTACTTCTTTATAAGAGTTGTTCCTCCAAATGTCTACTACATCATGTCCGAATTTGGAAGCAATTGGATAAGTGTTGAATCCTCAGACGGACAAACATTGAAGCTGGTTCAGTTCGCAATCACTTGATTATTAGTCATTTACTAGCAAAAGTGCCCGTGAGATGCTGCGGGTTTTAAAATTGCATGAAATGTGTATAAAGCGATGAAAATAGGCAGGGAACATCTCAACTACCCAATTGCCAAAATACTTGACGGGTTTACCAACATGTTCAAATATTGTAATCATTTAAACCTATCATTACAACAACAAATTAACACCAACCAACTGTCAATTGATGCCATTAGCTAATTCCTATGCTCTATTTACAAAACTTAAAACAATTAATTGAAATTTCAGCCTAGAAACTCACCCCTTACTTAACAGAACTAAAAACACCAACCAAACCGCTCTATCCAAAGCAACGAAAGACCACCTGCAAAATATCAAAAGAAAACAAAAAATAAAAAAAAAAAAACAAAAAAAAAAAAAAGAAAAGAAGAAATTAGCTTGAGTATTTCATGCATGCACAATCTTTTCATTAAACCAAAAAATTAGCTTGACCAAAATCTGTACGGAAAGAAACCACTCAAGACTACCCAAATTAATGTGTTTTGGGTAAAGAAAAACATTGTAAAGGCACAGGAAAAGGACTGTTTAAATGATCCTAGACGCATTTGAAACAAAGAGTATATGATCAAAAAGTTACTGGCCTAAACAATCAAAAGTTACCTATGCAAAAGTCAAACTAAACAATCAAAATCCCAAAACAACTATCTCTGCATTGTCGTTGTCATCAAAGATTTGAAAATTCTATCTCATAACCCTACACCACCAAAAACACAGAATCAATAATAAACTCAAAGAATAAGAACTAAAATTAATAGAGAAAATTGAACCTGATTCAAAGCTTACCAATATGTCGTGATATATAAATACCTCAGCTCTTATATAGCATTAGGGATTACCCAAGAACCTGAAATCAAATTAACCAAATAAAGGAAGCGAAATTTGTAAAAAATAAATCAAAAATAAAAATACCCAGAGCAAGACAGCAAGACAGAGAATGAGAGAGACACAAAGTCCGACACAAATCAGTGGCCAGTGTGGAAACTAAAGCAAAATTTGGAAGCTGAAAGACTCCCCACAAACGTAGACTAAAAACTTGGATTCGAAGAGAGGTTCGGTAATGCTTGTAGTAAAAGCTTAGCCAGAACGAAAAAGCAAAAGAAATGGATAACAAAATCACCCAAAGAGAAAGAGAGAATATTTTCTGTAAAAATGGCGTTCTAGAACAAAATCAGAGCGTTACCTAAGAATATCCAGAAATGAAAGTGAAACCATATGCGGATGCCAAAAAAACAAATGCAATTTAGGTAAGCGAAAGCAGAGATGGAGAGAAAAGGAAATTTGTTAATTTGCTTTAATTTGCTAACAATATCCAGAAGACACAGAGAGAGAGAGAGAGAGAGAGAGAGAGAGAGAGAGAGAGAGAGAGAGAGAGATTAATCCCCGAAAAATAATTAAAAAATCAGAAAATCAAAATAGACGAAAAGCATTTGGTGAACCAAAAACAAAACTAAAATGAGAAAGAGAGATTCATACCATTGACATCAAACCCATCAAATCTAAATGCTCTTTTCATTGGTGCTTTGGAGAAACAGCATATATAATCAAAGAAATTCCATTAGGATCCAAAAATTAGAGATAGTAAACAGATCAAACCTAAATGCTTTCAACATTGAACCAAAAAGAGGAAGCATGGTCTAATGTATGGAAATCCGAATATCACAACAAAACACAGATTCAAAGAACAACAACATTAAGCAAGCATATTGATGAGTACTTCATCGACTCTTAAGCTACATATTTTTGGGGAAAATCACAGCTAATCAGTAACAACAACATTGAGATTCAGAGTGATTAACTGGCATTTAGAAACCCTAATCCACTACTAAAATTAGCTAAACACAAAACAACAACAGACCACGAAATCAACAGAGGGATAATAGTCTGTACGTTACCTAAATGCTTTCTTTATGAAACTGTAAATCTCCTTCTACTCACTACAATGGGGTTGGCTTAACCAACAAAGTAGAAAAAGGAATGCTACCCAGAGATGAAAAATATGTTCAATTATTAGGGGAAAAAAACGGATAAAGGGAAAAGTTAAAACAAATGAAATAGATTCTTAAAAAAGGGAAATGCCAGGCCAACAAAAATTGAACTTAAAATGCATGTTCTAAGTAGTTAGCAGGAAGACCCAAAAACAACCAAACTAATGTGAACTTTCGACTTTAGCAAGTAAGATGGAGAAAATTGAAGAATTAAGAGCCGCAACAACTGCACATCTCATATAAAAAAATCAGAAAAATCAAAATAGATGAAAACCATTTGGTGAACCAAAAACAAAACCAAAATGAGAGAGAGATTCATACCATTGACATCAGACTGGGGGTTCCTGTATTGATTTCTCCAGTTCTTTTTCTTTCAATCTTCCTCCCTGTAACAACAAACCAAAGTCAATTTTTGATTTACTTCTCAATTTTCAACATGACAAATGAATAAACCAACATAGAAAACCAAAAGAACCTTAAAACCAACATTTTTTCTCAATAGGCAAGCTTACCCCTCTTATCGATTTTTACTTGCTTGGCTTCGATTTTTACTTCTCAATAGGCAATTTTCAAGAAGGATGAGATGAGAATGCAAGAAAGGATGAGAACGATGAGACGATGAAAACGATGAAGACCAAAGAGAGTCCAAGGGGAAGTTGCAATTTTCAAGAAGGATGAGATTAGAACGCAAGAAAAGATGAGAACAATGAAACGATGAAACGATGAAATGATGAGAACAATGAAGACAAAAAGAGAGTCGAAAGGGAAGGGACAAAAAGGGAGATTGTCCACATCTCAATTCATTATAAGGTATAAAAATAAACCATAACTAATCCTAAAATTAAGGATTTAAAGTAACAAATTTAGAATAAAGATTTTTTTAAAAAGTTCAAACTTAAAATGGAACCAAGTGAAAGAAGAGAAAACTACCAAAGGCTATGGTGGAGCATAAAGCATTTTAAGTTTTTGAGAGGAATGTGCAGAGAAATAGGGTGTAAAAGAAGGTGTGGATATGCTGATAGGTTTTCATAATATTCGAGAGGATGCCTCTGACGCAGCCTCCTTCACATCTGCCACCAAAGGCAAACATCAAATACAAAATACGATTCAACTGATCGAAACAAAATTAGAAAAAAGCAAAATAAATGTGATAAAAGGTGGAGACCTTTGGCAACAAATTGGATTTAGCCAGGAGGAGAGTTGAGAAGGAACCACTTCTCCACCGCAAAAAAAAACATTGACTACATTAGACACTGACAAATAATCAAAATGGGTACAAATTTATTAATTAGAAAAAAATAAAGTATAAACGGCAAAGAGAACAAACCTCATTAATGGTAAGCACTTGGCCATTGCTCTTCTTGACCTTCTTCAGCTTCCTCATGAAATACCTCAATCAACAATATTAAGTTTAACCCAGATATAAGCAAAATATCACAACCACAGAATTAACAATTTTCAAATGACACAATATCCAAAAACCAATTTTCCACAATTGATATGCATGACCTCTTCAACAGATGAATAGAAAATTGACCTGTTGCCTAGCAACAATAAGAAGAGCTATCAAGCAGTTCAAAAAGCAGTTACACAGCACCTATAGAAAAACGCAAAAACCGAAAAATGAAATAAAGCAAAAATCAAAAGAGCGAAAAATAAAACACACAGATTCTGTTTGTGGTAATGGTCTAAAAGCACATGATTTACGATAAACAATGATTTTCAAAAGGAAATGAAGAAAAAAAGGAGCTACTATATAGATAACAACAGGAACACATTTACAATCCAATATTCTGAAGTAAAATAAAGAGAAATAATGCAAAGCAAACAAATGACTGAATTCTGACATAATGGGGCATATATATAAGCTGCGAGCTAGCACATGCTACTCCATCCTTTATAAGACTTCTTGTCTGGCAGTAAGACACTGTCCCAAACAGACAAAACACAAAAACAACCCAAAAAGGCCAAAAGAAAGAAAAAGAAAAGAAGGGTCATCAACAATTACTCATTTATCAACAGAGATTGCAAAACATAAAACTTGTTCACTATTTTTTCTAAGCAAATCAGTTGAAAATAAAATATCAGAAGCAAGATTTGTCTCTAGGCATTTCAATTATCATCACATCTTATACTTCGGATTCAAGCATGGTATAAACAGTAACTGAGAACAAAAACAAAATTTTTATTGATACTTAACCGATGAGACATTCCTAGCATACATTAAACCTAGCTATTTTGACACACCAATAGACTTCAAAATCAAATATGAAATGCAAAACCGAAACAATACATGGGAATTTCAACATAGAAACACACTTCTTAATTAACAGAACAAAAAACAACCACCAAACAGCTCTTTCTAAAGCAGCAGAACACCACCTACAAAACATCAAAAGCAAACATTAAAGGTTCTTGTCCTCTAGTATGAGTTGAAATTAAAATCCCACAAATACAGATTTAAAAGTGTGCATTAAACTATGTTAAAGGTTGGAGAAAGAGAATCAAATCCACTTCTACATTTAATTTTTAATTTTTCAATCTATACTCTATACACACACAACTTAATAATTAGAAATTAGAGTACAGAATCAGAAGTTGGTGCTGCCCATGGGTCCAGCTGTACTCTTTTGGGTTACAGAGAGAGAAAAGACTGTAAATAAGTCTTTTACAGAGAGAGAGAGAGAGAGAGAGAGAGAGAGAGAGAGAAGATGTAACCTTAGGTTTTGTTGATCAACCTCATGTATTAAAATTCAATTCCTTGCTTGGAGAACAAAAGTTTTAAATTTAAAATAAAATATGACAAAAAGACTTCAAACAATCCAAATCTAAAGTAAAATCATCAACCAGTTCAATCAAAGGCTGAGATAGCTAGAATACCTCAGTTGCAATGAATCAAAACGAAAAACATAGAAAATAAACTCTGCAAGCAACAAAATCCCAGAGTGCCCTTTTGAATTTGGATTTCTGGAGAGAGAGAGAGAGAGAGTGGGAAAACAGCAAGATAAAACAAACCATACACTTTTCCTCTTTTCTCTCCTTTTAAGACTCAAATTGAACTGTGTTGCTTTATCTGTTTTTGCTGCATCAGAGATTCTCTCCACCTCTTTCAAGTCAAAGTGAGAGAATAAATTATTTTTTATTATTCATTTTTAAAGTTGGTATGAAATGAGAGATGGAAGGAAAGGAGGAACTACAGCTCATGGCATATATTCCGCCAACATAACCCCACTTATGTTTCCAGATATGGAGTGAGAACACAGGACAGGCCAACTACTCCAAATGCCACAAATTGGATCAAAGCTTTTAAGGCTCCTAACCAACATTTATGTTGCCTTCTTTTCTCTCTCATCCACAATACAAAAATGGGTCTGCTGCAGAATATGCAAAATCAGAATATGAATTTGGTTTTGTCCACTGATGCAAAGCCCGGGCTAAAATGGACTGCAGAACTTCATCAAAGATTTGTTGAAGCAGTCAATCAGCTTGGTGGGGCAGACAGTTGAGTATATAAGCTTGATTGATATTCTTCTTCAAATCCCTTTTTAGTTTCTTTCTATTTCTATACAAAGTTCTAATGTCTTTGTTTTACATATGGGCAGAGGTCACACTAAAGAGTTTGATGAGGGTGACGGGAATTCATGGACTCACTCTGTACCACCTAAAGAGCCACTTACAGGCATTTTTCTCCCTTTTCTTGGTTAATCACATCCAGTCTTTTTTCAGACTATTATGGAAAAGCATAACTGTAAAACTGTTTTGTTTTCTTGTGCAGAAATACAGGCTAGGGAAAAGCCACCAGTCAGAAAACTGCACTGACATTAAGAAAGAAGGTGACTCCAATGCTTCATTAGATTATAAAAACTATAAAGGATCATCATCTTTACTCTTTTTTCTTCTTCTTAATCTTCTTGAAATCTTAATATTTGAAATGTTTCTCTGATAATGTCCTACACTAAATGCAGGTCTTAAATTATGTCTTACATGCCGTTCATAGTTATACAGAATATCTTTATCTTGGTTCATCAAATCTATCTCTCCCCCAAATTTGTCTAATTTATCTCTCTACTGGGGGCAATTCTTTTGAGCATAAATCGAACACAACCCAAAACAATTATAAAAAAGAAAAAGAAAAACAATCACTATATCAATCAACAAAAACGATTAAAAAGGAAGATCAAAAGAGAAACCAAATAATAAATATAACCAACAATTGAAATATTCATCAATTTTAATCTTTTTATTTTTAAAAAAATAAAAAAACCTGCCTAAGCAATCAAAAGTCACCTTAAACAATCAAAATCACAAAAGAACTATATTTTCGAGGATATGGATCTTACCTGAAATGTTTTGTTGAGGTTGCAAAATCACCTTTTTCCTCATACTCAAACCCTTCAACAACCCGGTGGGACTTCTAGTACAATATTCAAATCATGAATCAGTATAGCGACCAGCCATACTATGATGGCTATTGGTTAAGAACTAATAAAAATAATCAGTATAGCTACCAGCCATGTTATGGCTATTTGCTAAAAACTGATGATGGTCAAAATAATCCTCAGCCAAAAAACTATGGCTATGAGGAAGATAGTGATTATGATGAAGATGATCATGAGCCAAACTATGGCCTTGATCAAAATAATCCTCAGCCAAACGATTATGGCAATGAGAAGAACCTGATTATCATCAAAATACTCATGAGCCAACTAACTATGGCTACGAGGAAGATAATGATGGCTGTGAGGAAGATAATGATTATGACGAGGATAATCATGAGTCAAACTATGGCTTTGATTGTCAAAACTCTGTTAATGGATATGTGGAACCACTTAAGGGTTCTAATTCATTTGACAATGAAGTGGTTCAGCCAAGTCATGGCTATGCAGCAAATACAGCAACTAACAAGCCTCTAGCTAATCAAGAGGTTGATGCTCATGTTGTTTTTACTCAAGCTAGTAAGCTCTACAACAACCCGCACCTACATTAACCTTCATGGAAAAAATACTAAACCGAATCATGGAGAAGATGGATAGCAATGCAATGGCAATCCAAAATCTACTAGGGGATCGCAATCCCACGGTTGTTTCCCCAAACCAAGGCAGTAGCAGTCCGAAGGGAACCAGTGCTACACTACAGCCACTTGAAATGTCTTTGAAAAGTGGAGTTTTGTTGCAAGGCCAAACTAGTGGCCAAAACAAGAGTTCACAGTCTCCTGCTACACAATCCAGCAGTCCAAATCAGAGGCTGAACAACCAAAGTGTTCAGCCAATTAATGGCAATAATAACATTGTTGTCATCGGACAAGGAGCAATGACAGAAGATCGTGAGTGCAGCCAAGAGGATATATTGGAAGAAGCCATCACCACTTCATTACCCATTGGTCAATCAAAATATGAAGTGGCCCCTTTTGTCTCAAATCAACCATCAATTCCTACAAAGAATTCATCTGGAAAAGGTGGAGCATGAAGACATCCAAAATAGCTTTTTGTGAAGACCAAGACGAGGTCCTAACAGAGAATTGCATGTCCGAAGTGATATATGAGCCACCAACTCTTCCAATCAATGAGAAAACATAAAACATGGAAGAGCTGGAGAAAGAAAACCTGCGAATTGTTCTTTATAAGGACCAAAACAGGCTCCAAATAGAGAGTTCCATGATTGACATGGTTGTAGGCGACAAAGCCAGCTTGCCAAAATCATCAATGGCAAGTCAGAACTTGAGGCCATGATTGGCCAGACAACCATGCTTGGGGGGTTTGAATATCCTTTTTTTTTAGAGCCAAGCAACAAGAAAACTCCAACAATTATGATATCACATGCTTTCATGTTCTTCAAAAGCATGAAATTCATGGTGAAAATTCAAAAGCATCAAGGTTTGATCAATTTATTTTACCTTTTAATTTTCTGATTTTTATTTCTTTATTTCCATTTTTTCAGTTTTTCGTGTTTTCTGAAAACATAGAGTTGCGTTTTGCGTACAAACAGGGGAGAGGAGTAAGTAGAAAGTGGCCTGCCTTGTATCCCCTGATGCATCATCTTTTCATTTGGAGGCTTTCGTTTTGGTTTTGAATGAATTTGCTTTAATTTCCTTCTCACTCATCCCTCGTCTTCAGTAAGATCTCTCTCTCCAACTCTTTCATATTCGTTCAAGAGATTCAATATTAACAAGAACTGTTCGTATTATCGTTCTTTTCCTATGTATAAATGTGTTGCTTTGATTGCATTTCAAATTGTTAACCTTTCTTGATTGAATCGTGTGATATTTATGTGTGGAAAGTATTGATTAACCCAAGTTAAATCCTTGTTAATTGAAACCTTTTTGAATTGCTTACCATTTATGGCCCTTCAAATAATTCCATTTCTTCTTGTAAACGTGATTTGTGCCTGGCATTAAATCTCTAAATCTTCCCTGTGCAATATATATATATATATATATATATTGTCAATTTGTTTCCATCTGTGATTCAGCAGGTTCTTTTTTGCTTCTGGTTTTGTTTGTTTTTCTTGTTCAGGTTCGAGTATCACCAGGAAGACACTTAAACACGTTTTCCCAAGCTAGTTTGATTAAAACCCAATTGGCCTTGTCCCGTTCTTTGATTTGATCTTCCCAGCTTTTGCCTCTGCCTATATCTTAACCCTGCCTCGCCTGGCCTTTCTGGCACACGGGATTGTCAGTTCTAGCTCCCAGGAGATTTTCCAAGGCAGCAGATTCTTATTTGAGTTTTTGAAGTCAGTTCTAGCTCTGCCTGCCAATGCACAGTTCAAGGTCATATTTCTTGTGTTTTGGAAACTTGGTTCTTAATTGGTTTTCTTGTTTGGGGTACTTGTAATTGCAGGACATTGCATGGTTTTTGTTTCGGAGGAGCCTGGCTATAGCCAATTTCTTATATTTCTCCATCATCAACCTGTTCGGGTTTTTGATTCCTCGGTTCCTTCCGAGGACGTTTGAGAGGTACTCCAGGGAGAGGGAAGAAGCTAATGCCAAGATGGCAGCGGACAAGCACTCTGCAGCAGCAAATAAATCAGAACCAGTTGCAGATAAGAAAGCTGATTGATTTTTTTGGTTTTCTTGCTCCCCCCCTCGCGGTCATGGTTCACTTGCTGAGGTATATTTAACTAAAGAAAAGCAAAGGTAGTTGCTCATTTTCAAGTTCAAATTTGTATTGTAGTCGACCAAGGACCAACAGAATCTGCCGAAGACTTGCAGGCTGCTAGCCAAACCACAACTATAAAAATACCAACAGGGGACTTAAGGATTTAAACTCTTACGGGGACATAAGAGCTTGATAACCAATATCAGAGACTCGAATTCAGTATCCATCCAAGATCTCAACACAGGACCTTCATCCCTCTTTTTATAACACAGACCTCACCCAGCTTCATACGGATACAGATACAGAGAGAAACAAAAGCATCCCTGTTATAGTACCTCAAAGAAGGCCCAAAATATTCATATGAATAGAAACAGGATCAAAATTGAGTACGAAGATAAATACTTACTCTATTGAGGGCACAATTATATACTACTAACTTTCACTTTAATTGATCATCGGATATGGTTTTTGTTTATACCAAAATGAACAGCCAATGAATATCGAACACGTGGGCTAAACCAGGGCCATGGGTGCCTTTGGCACCCATCTTCGGTACCAAACCCACCGATCGCAACGTTAGGGCAACCTCGCCCCCTTTGATGCGTGGCAGTCCCACAACCGATGTCCAGAGTCCCACATCGAAACTCTAAACAAATTGCACACCTCCCAAGGCCTATAAAAGAGGACAACCATCCCAGCTTGGAGGTAATCAATCAGAACTCACGGCATACTGCCTATTGATCTGTAGTTCAACCTTACTAAATCCGTACTTACTTAAGCATCGGAGAGCCTTCGGCCGGTACCACACCGGTGCCCTAGGACTTACCGTGTGTTTGCTATCTTACAGATCGGACACACTGCCGAGGACATTAGATACCGAAGAGACTTAATCACTAAGTTGCGCGGGAAAGTGCCGAACCATTTTTCTGCGTCAACAGTTTGGCGCCGTCTGTGGGAAACGATAAAAATCAACCTACAATTCCTAAACAAAACAAATGGGAACCACTTCAGGACCACAGTTCCTATCAGAGGATGGATTACCGTACGGTATGCCAAGTGGAGCAAGCCCCCGCGCTGCACCCTAGCACCCCCTTCGGTAATCCTCCTGCGCTTCAGACCACGGTCGAAGCGGAGCTTCTAGCTCAGATGACCTCCCTTCGAAGGGAGATGGCTAAACTCCAAGAACGTAATAATCTCTTTTCGACCAAGGTAGACGAAACCCAACGGTTGCTTAATCAGCAGGAAACGCAAAACATTCAGGCTACCGAATCTTCCCAGAGTCAGCAGACCCCCGGTCGGCAGAAGAAGGGAAAGCAGGGGGCAAAGGCAACGCCTGCGCCCTTCAAACAGTTGGTGGTCCCGGCTCCCCAGGACCAACCTCACGTACCGAAGAAGGTGTACACCGATTGTCGTCATCGGATTAACGACAAGAGGGATGCCGAACGGCATAGGTCCCCAGTCGGAGTAAACGCCCGCCTGAGGGACTCCCGGATGAGGGTCCTGGGAGATAAATCGCCCCTTCGGAGGGTTCAGCATCTAGATTCGGCGCTGGAATCCGACGATGAGTACATCCCCATCGGGGGTACCGAATCAAGCTACCGTTCGGAAGCTCCCCCGGAATACTCAAAGGCGAGACCACCAAGTCCGAGGAGAACTTCCGAAGACTTTGGTTCCAAGGGCGTCCCAAGCCGAGACCCTGCCATCCGCTTACTTTTCCAAAGAATCCAGAAGATGGAGGATGACCGAACCCGGTCCCAGGTCCCTGACTGGGGAAAACTTCGGCCGGGACCGTTTACCGAGCGCATCAAGAAGTCCAGACCGGACAGGGAGGTGCAGCCGTTGCGCATACCCTTCTATACCGTGTGGAGGACCCTTTGACGCACCTTCACTCCTTCCAATCGGCAGTTGGGTGCAAGGGCCTCAGCGACGAGGGGCAATGTCTGCTGTTTCCATCGTCCCTTACCGAAGCTGCTCTGAACTGGTTCTACCGTCTCGAACCAGGGACAGTAGACTCCTTTGACAAGCTGAAGCAGATCTTCCTCAACCACTTTATGATCCAGACGGACCGTTTGTACTCTGCCGACGATCTGTACACGATTCGGCAGAGGGAGGACGAACCCTTACGGGAATACGCAGCGCGCTTCAGTCACGAGTACTCGAGGTGTCCTGAAACGGACGATAGGGCGGCCTACGGCGCCTTCAAGAGTGGCCTTCGGTCCTCTCACTTCCGGTATCTCGTGCACAGTAGCAACTAGCGCACGTACGACGAGTTAATGAAGCAGGCGGCAGTCCATGCGAAGGCCGAATACTTCAATTCCAAACCCGGGCCTTCGGCACGGAAGGAGGAGTCGGCCACCAAAAGTTATCCGGGGCGAACTGACGACTCGTCGGCAGGACACAAACGGAAGGACGACTGTGATAGCCGTCAGGGACACTCGAAGAAAGGACGCGGGAAGTACGGTCGTAACGACCACCGGGCGCCGCTACCAAATCACGATCGCGCCCAGGAAGTCTTCACCATGCTGAACACAACGTACGAAACCGTTCTGATGAACGAGCATGACCAGATTCCGAAGCTAACCTACCGAAAACCCAATCGGCAGGATAATCGGGACACAGGCAAATTCTGCCGATACCACCAGCAGAACAGCCACAACACCGAGGACTGCATCAGCCTGAGGAAAATTGTCGAGCGTCTGATTCGGGAGGGAAAGTTGGATCAATACCTCGCCAGGCCACCACAGGCCCCGGCACCGAACGCGAATCGGCAGATCAACATGATCAGCACGATCAGCGGCGGTCCCACTTTGGCGGGACCCTTTAACCGTTCGGTGAAGCAGTATGTGCGTGCCGCCCACTGCCCTCAGGTCTTCGGTATAGAAGACGATCGATGCCGAAAGGTGCCTAAGGTGAGATGGGAGCCCATCACATTTTGTGAGGAGGAGGAGGAGGGGATCATCTACCCCCACGATGACCCAATGATCATTCGGGCAGAGATCGCCGATTACGATGTGGGTCGGGTGCTGATTGACACCGGAAGCTCGGTGAACGTGATTTTTGCCGATGCGTTCAAGGGATTGGGGATTGCCGACAGCATGGTCAATCGGCAAATCATGCCTCTCCTCAGTTTTTATGGAGATCTAGTCCAGCCAGTCGGTAGCATCAGTCTACCCATCGCCTTCGGCGTCGCCCCCAGGAAAACAATGACCTACGACCAATTCCTCATTGTCGATTGCCCAACGGCATACAACGTCATCGTAGGGCGAACGGCACTCACCAGGGTCAAAGCCCACCTATCTCCCCACATGTTGCTGATGAAGTTCCCAACACGCAACGGTACCGGCGTCATCCGGGGCGATCAGCTCAGCGCACGGACGTGCTATGCCACGGCCCTTAAGTCGGTAGCTAGCAAACCGCCAGTGGAGGCCATGACCGTGCAGGGACTACCGAACGGTAGCGAACTTATTGACGACCCCAGGGAGGAAAACCCAACGCCGATGGCGCAGCCCGCCGAGGAGCTCGAGACCGTAATCCTGAACGAGGAGTTCCTCGATCGGTGGGTGAAAATCGGTACCAATCTAGATCCCGACCTCCGAAGACAGTTCATCGATTTCTTACGGCAGCAGGCGGAAGTCTTCGCCTGGTCTTATGACGATATGCCCAGCATATCACCTGATGTCATCAGCCACAAGCTCAGCATCTCCACCGCCCACAAACCGGTCAGGCAAAAGCGCCGATCGTACGATACCGAACGGTACGAGGCAATGCGTGCCGAAGTTGACAAGCTCAAAGCCATCGGCTTTATCAGGGAAGCTACGTACCCTGTTTGGCTTGCCAACTCAGTCATGGTTCGGAAGGCCAAGGGAGGATGGTGGATGTGTCAGGACTATACCGACCTGAATAAGGCTTGTCCGAAGGACAGTTTCCCCTTGCCGAGAATCGACCAGCTCGTCGATGCCACCGCCGGGCACGAGCTGCTCAGCTTCATGGACGCGTATTCAGGATACAATCAGATCTTCATGGACCATGCCGATAGAGAACATACGGCATTCATCACGGATCGCGATCTGTACTGTTACAACGTCATGCCCTTCGGCCTGAAGAACGCGGGGGCAACTTACCAACGGCTCGTCAACCGGATTTTTGCCAAATACATCGGCGGCATAATGGAGGTGTATGTCGATGATATGTTGGTAAAAAGTCGAACGGCAGGGGAGCACCTGGAAAACCTGGCCCTCATGTTCGGTATTCTAAAGGACTACCGAATGAGGCTGAACCCAGCGAAGTGCGCCTTCGGTGTATCTTCCGGTAAATTTCTCGGATTCATGATCAGCCAAAGGGGAATCGAGGCCAATCTCGAGAAAATCAAAGCCATAATCGACATGGAGACGCCGAAGACGCAGAAAGACATTCAGAGCCTTACCGGACGTGTCGCCGCCCTGACACGCTTTTTCTCCAAGGCTACCGACAAATGTGTACCGTTCTTCAAAGCTTTGAAAGGGGGCAAACACCATATCACATGGACTCCCGAATGCGACCAGGCATTTCAAAACTTGAAGAACTACATGAGCCAGGCACCACTATTATCAAAACCGCTCCCAGGCGAGGTACTACTCCTATACCTTTCGGTATCCAACACTGCCGTTAGCTCAGTGTTGATACGGAAGCCAGAGAAGGCGGAGCTACCGATCTTTTATGTCAGCAAGGCGCTCCAGAGCGCGGAGCTTCGGTACCCACCCTTGGAATTTCGCCCTTACTTCCAGGCGCACGAAATCACAGTTCTGACTAACCAGCCTCTTCGGTAGGTACTCCAAAAGCCGGAAACGTCTGGCCGATTGGTCAAATGGGCAATCGAGTTGGGAGAGTTTGACATACAGTTCAAGCCAAGGCCTGCAGAAAAAGGCCAAGCCGTTGCCGACTTCATCTCCGAGCTCACACCTCCTGCGCTATCGGAACCATCATCGCCGAACGCCATCCTTGTTGCACCAGAGAAAATGGATACCGAACGTTTCGACACTTCCGTTCCTCTCTGGATCCTACATGTGGATGGGTCGGCAAACCAGCAAGGCTGTGGTGCCGACTTGGTGTTAACCACGCCGGACGGTAGCAAAATCGAGTATGCCCTCCGATTCAACTTCCGGACCTCCAATAACGAGGCAGAATATGAGGCCCTCTTGGCCGGCCTTCGGCTGGCCAAGAGCATGAGCGCGAGGCAGATCAGCATTCACAGTGACTCCCAGCTCATAATGAATCAGATAACGGCAGACTTCGCAGCGAAGGATGCCTCCATGTCACCCTACCTATCGGCAGCTCACCAACTACTACAAAAATTCCAGGCCTATGAGATACGGCAGATCCCCAGGTCGGAAAACAGCCACGCCGACGCGCTCTCACGATTGGCTTCGGCAATAAATGACAAGGTCGGAAGGAAGGTACCGGTGGAGATATTATCCCAACCGAGCACAACCACGGCTGATGTGTGTACCATACGGTATGAAGACACATGGATGTCTCCAATCTATGCCTTCCTGACAACCGAAACCCTTCCTACCGATAAGTCCCAAGCTCGGAAACTCCGTTACCGATCGGCAAGATACACAGTCATCAACGACGTTCTGTACAAGCGAGGCTACACAACGCCGTATTTAAAATGCCTGACCAAGGAGCAGGGGGACTATATCCTTCGGGAGGTCCACAGTGGAATCTGCGGTGACCACTCTGGGTCCCGATCGCTCGCGCACAAAGTCTTCCGACAGGGGTATTTCTGGCCAACTCTGCACCAAGACGCGAACACATTAGTCAGAAAGTGTGACAAATGCCAGCGGTTCGGTATTGTCCCTCATATTCCTGCCGAGCCGCTGTCACCGATCGTGAGCCCGTGGCCGTTCGCCCAATGGGGATTAGATCTAATTGGTCCAATGCCAGAGGGCAAGGGTCAGGTTAAATATGTCGTTGTTGCCGTAGACTACTTCACTAAATGGGTCGAAGCCAAAGCCTTAGCAACGATAACGGCAACCAGGATCGAAGATTTCATCTGGACGAACATTTGTTGCCGATTCGGCATCCCCTATGCCATCGTCACAGACAACGGCAGACAATTTGACTTGGAAGTCTTCCGAGAATTCTGCACCCGACTCAAGATCAACCTGTTCTTTGCTTCGTCAGCGCACCCCCAATCGAACGGACAGGTCGAAGCCATGAATAAAATTGTCAAGAAGCTGTTGAAACGGCAGCTTGACAAAGCCAAAGGAGCCTGGCCGGAAAAGCTTCCAGAGGCGTTATGGGCCATCCGGACATCCTACCGAACGGCAACTGGGGAAACACCATTCTCCATGGCTTTCGGTTCAGAGGCGGTAGTCCCAGTAGAAATCGGAGAGCCTTCCGCTCGAAGAACGCCGAGCACAAGCCAACCTTCGGAACGAAGCTTACAAGCAACGTGTCTCTCGGTACTAGGACTCCAGGGTCAGATCCCGCTCCTTCCGAATCGGAGATTGGGTAATGCGGAAAGTCTCTTTGGCAACCAAGAATCCCACGGAAGGAACCCTCGGACCTTCCTGGGAGGGACCCTACGAAATCATTGGTATCCAGCGATCGGGGACTTATCGACTCAGAGACTCCAACGGAAAGACCCTCGGTCATCCTTGGAATGTAGAGCATTTGAAGTACTATTTCAAATGAAGTCACCTAGCCTACGGCAGGGTTACGGAGGAGGCCCAAAAGCCTTCGGCCTCTCTACGAACACAGCCTTCGGCATTATAGCGTTTCCTAGCCAACGGAGGGTTCTAAATTGTAAAACGCACCCCAAATTGTACCTTTGCCTTCGGTAATTATCAATGAAAGGGCCTTTGGCTCATATATTCAGAGCCTTTGGTGTACCTTTTAAACTCTCTTCATTTTTTGTTCAAAAAAAAGATACGGTAGGGACCATCGGTGGCAGTGAACTACGCATTTTGGCATCGCCATTATCCTACCGATTAAGGGACAACTTTTATAAGCTTCCGGTAATTACAAGCCGCTGCTTAGCCATCGGCAAGCACGCCTATTGGTTTCAATTCCCTACCACTTGAAATTTTGCTTGAAAGGTAACTTTATTGGCCAACGGCTAATGACTCTTTTTGAGAGCCTTCGGCATTAAACAGAAAAATTTCCTAAGTACATTACCGATTCAGAAGTAAGATGCAATCAAATTAAAACAAAAACGCAATTTCGATAAAAATATGCCCACGGCATCAATTATCCAAACAAAAGATGCCAACGACATCAAAGTTGCATCGCAATTACAAAAATGCCCTCGGCATCAAAATTACATAAAACAAAAGCAAGAAATAAGGATGAAGGGCCTTCAGGTAGCCTCCTCGGCATCCGCCTCTTCGGCACCAGTGGCGTCGGGCTCCCCCGGAGCGTCTTCCCCTTCATACTCCTCAATCATTTCTTCTGTAACGCCTTCGGGAAGGGGAGGAGGATCGGCAATGAAGTTCAAGTTGAGCTTCGTCCCAGGATTGTACCGCTTGAATCGGTAGATGAGATCCACCATCTCCGAGCCCACCTCCTTGTCAAGCAAGGTAGAGAAATCGGGAGAGTAGCGATACTTCTGAATGGCCTCCTGGACGGCAGCCTCAATCTCCGAAGCTTTGGTCCGCTCCGACTCCTCCAGAGCCACCTCAACGGCTTCCTTCGCCTCCAGAGCCTCTTTTGCCGATAGCTGTGCCGACTCCAGGGCTGACGACAGATCTGCGAACTTGGACTCATAAACCCTGACCTGCCGTTCGGCAGCCTGCAAATCCTTCGCCAGGTTCGCATGATCCTGGATAACCTTGCCAGCCTCAGCATTGATGGCTCGCTTCATGCAAAGCCACATGTCCATCAAAGCCTGCAGAACAAAGGGAACGTCAGCCAAAGTGTAAAAAAAAACGATCGGCAAGCTGAACCTAGAATACTCGGGACTTACCGATGCTTGAAGACGGAAAGCGCGACCCGCCTCCTCCCGAAGGAGCTTCTTCGGCAGCTCCTCGATCTCATTCAGCTCCATTTGCGAACCAAGGATCATGTGGTTCGCAAACTGGACCGTCTTCGGCGGACAAGCCAAGGTGACGGGATTGGCAGGCTCCTCGTCGTTGTCAGCAGCGAAGATGGCCCGAGGAGGCTCGGCCTGCCGTCCACGTTTTGGGGCCGGTACGGCATCTAGGTCGACGGTAAAGGGCCGTTTGCCGGCAGCTCGGGAGGAAGTCCCTTCGGTAGTGGTGCCTCGGCCAGGAGAGGGGCCGACCGCTGCCGCCCCGACCTGTGCCGAGTCAGCGTTGAGCTGACGGAGACGGTCAGCCAGAGTCTGGTCCTCGGGGTCTACCGATGCCGAGCCCTGCGGTTGGTTCTTCTTCTTCTTCCCCTGGAAGCCCATCATGAGGCGGCTCTTGGAGGACTCGTTCATCCTCTTAGCCTCGGCAGCTCTCCTCTCTTCCGTCACTACGAAAAAAGGGTTCGGTAAGACTCGCTAGGGGGAAAAAAACAATTTGTAAATTACGAAGTATACTTACTCTCGGCAGGATCGACCAGCTGGGCCTGAATCAGATTGGTGGTGAAGAGGAACTGCGGATACACCCTCTTCTCGGCAGGGACTTTTCTCCTCACTCTCTCCACTTGCTGGATCTCGGCCTGCGTTGCGATCGGCTGCTTCAATTTACCTACAAGAAGAACCGACAGGAAAGATCACTTACGGTAAACGCGGAACCCAAAGAAGGTACCGAACGGCACGTGGCCCTACCAGCTATTTGGAATGTTGTGGGAATGCGAAATCAGATAGGCTATCCCGAAGGCGACTCCCAGTCGCCCGAGAGGAGCACCCGCCGATTCCTCCATGACTTCTGTGAAGTCGGTACCCAGCTGACAAAGTGGCCACGATCGGCAGCCCTGAGACAGTTCGCCTGCACCCATCCGCCGTGATCGGCACACTTGGACTTGGTAATGCTGTAGAGATGAGAGAACTGTTCATAGGAGGGGCTCCCTTCGCCAGCCATGCCGAAGGACGTTATCACTCTCATGAAGGCCACCTAGAAGTTGGGGTTGAATTACCCCGGGGCGTAGCCGATCTGGGCTAGGATCCTCTGCACCGCCGGCTGCAATGGCAACCGAACGCCTTGCACAAGGACGTCGGTAAAAAAGACTACCTCGCCGTCCTTCAGCGTACTAAGAGATTCAGTAGGGCCCGGGATCCTCATCCGTACCGAGTTGGGGATGCGGTATTCCGCTCGAAATTTGGCAATCTCCCGATTGGTAATCTTGTTCGGCCCAAGATAGTCGACGCCGAATAAATTTTCCTTCGGCACCCCCATGGGCACCCTAGGGTTGCTTGGGTACACTACCGATACCCTAGGCCCAGATGGTGGTTTAGCTGACGACTCTCCACGGCCGGAGGTGGAGGTCTCTGACTGACGGCTACCGCTCGCCTCCCCAGGCATACCGAGGCCCACGTGGCGGCCGTCACTATAGACGATTGACAACGGGACATGAGCGGTCATTAGCCCCTTTCCGACTCCGTGTGTTGGAATGGAGCTGGGCCCTTCGCCGAGTATCTCGACGTCGGTATCACTCCCACCCTCGGCATCAGGCCCTGCCGCTTCGCCGTCGGAGTCAAAGAGACCATCTGATGACTCCTCATCGAACGCATTGGGCTCGCGCTCGGAGAATGACTCGCTATCAGACATCTACAAAAACAGGGAAAAAGGAAACTAAGGCTCATGCCGGATGCTACCCTACCGATCCCTACATCGCTACCTATGGCAACTAGACTACCGAATGGAACCCTATGGTCAGTCTAGTTCGAACCAAGGAAGGACGTAACTCTTAAAGCATGCAACAGATTAAAGAGGAAAGTGCCGAACGGTACCTTAATGTGTACTCTGGAAGATAAGCGCGATCTGCTCTTCAGAATGCTTCCCTGCCGTTCGCAATACCGGGAATCGCCTTTCCTGCCGTTTGAAACGCCGGAAATCGTCTGGTTACCGTTAACACTCACCGGAAATCGTCTGGTTACCATTAACACTTGTCGGAAATCGCCTCAAACAGAGCTCTCACTTCTCACTAGATGCAAAGTGATTTCGCCTCCGGGGTCATCCCTATTTATAGGGGAGTGGTTGGCAACGGTACTCCTCGAAAAACCAAACGGCGCATTAATGCGCCGCGCGCCATCATTACTCTCGCCACGTGTCGCTCATCCTGTGGGGAACAGACGGCACGCGAAGCGCGGAAGTCGAAGCGCTCAGACGTCCTTTCACCCATCAGCTCGACACGACCTTCTGACTTCACCAACGTCAGCCTCTGAACTAATAATGCCGGAAGGGACAAAGTTTAGCCCCTTCCCCAAGTTGGACTACCGAACGGTAGGGCCACGGTTCCTTTCGAAGACAACTTCAAATCCCCTTCCGAGAACTCTCGCAAGGGGACTTGGGGGACTCCTGTTTATACCAAAATGAACAGCCAATGAATATCGAACACGTGGGCTAAACCAGGGCCATGGGTGCCTTCGGCACCCACCTTCAGTACCAAACCCACCGATCGCAACGTTAGGGCAACCTCGCCCCCTTTGACGCGTGGCAGTCCCACAACCGATGTCCAGAGTCCCACATCGAAACTCTAAACAAATTGCACACCTCCCAAGGCCTATAAAAAGGACAACCATCCCAGCTTTGAGGTAATCAATCAGAACTCACGGCATACTGCCTACTGATCTGTAGTTCAACCTTACTAAATCCGTACTTACTTAAGCATCGGAGAGCCTTCGGCCGGTATCACACCGGTGCCCTAGGACTTACCGTGTGTTTGCTATCTTACAGATCAGACACACTACCGAAGACATTAGATACCGAAGAGACTTAATCACTAAGTTGCGCGGGAAAGTGCCGAACCATTTTTCTGCGTCAACAGTTTTCAAAACATCTGTTGACTTCTCCGACATATTCATATATCATTGGACACAAAACAACACATTACGTTCAAGTTATGATTGACAACTCATGATACTTATGTGACACTGACTAATCAAAGAGCATGCCTCATCGATCATCACAGCTATGCGGCCTGCCATAAATGGATCTCTCCTTCAGAAAATTTCATATTCTCTGCATTATTGAATTTAGGAATATGTGAGACATACTATGAATATCTTTCAAACATATAACAAGTAACAACACTGAATTGAATGAGTTGGTTTGTTTTTTGACTTGAGGGGAAGGCAAGTCAGAGTAGAAGCAGGAAAATAAAGTAGAAAAGAGCAAGCAAAACAGACAACTACCAACTGCAACACAACAATAGAAAAGAAGACAATAAACAAATATATGAAAAGTTGAGTAAAGATGCCAAATGAAGAACACATTTACACAACAAATGAATTAACCTCGGCTACCACACTTGGAAATTAAGAAGTACCTATTCCTTCGCGTGGTCATATACATACAACTGAAGGCACATGTTGGATTTTATGGAATTCATCTCCTCCTACCTGAGCCCTACTACGAAATTGGCTATTCATCCATACGAAGCTTAATTCCTGGAGGGTAGTAATGTATCTCAGCCCATCTGGAACTGTCTCCAAGGCATAGCAACGTTCTATGCGTAATCGGCGGAGGCTCGGCATGGCTCCTTCTTCCACCTTCAAGTCCCTTATTCTGTTCAAGTACACAAGGGAGAGCGATTCAAGTTGACGAAAGCCATCTTTGGAGAAAACCAGTGTGAATATCCCATCCTCGAAAGTTCCGTTCCCTAGGCAAAGAGTTTTTAGATTGGGCACTTTCTCTAGCATGGCCATCTGGTTGTTGTCAATATAACACATACTCAGTGTTAACTTAGCGAGGTTTGGAAAGTGTTGAAGGTCTAGTAGCCTCCAGATTTGCCCTTCCAACCTCAGCTTGTATACTTGACGACAACTTAACACTATTTTTTTAGCCCCTCCACCAATAATAGTCACAAATAGAGATCGAATTCCATCAAGTGTGCTGCTCATAGATTTCAAGGTTTCCTCCAAATTTTTCCAGTGGCTTGTCACTTGTATGACCAGTTTTCTAAGACTGGTTAACTCAGTAAGCTCGTTCAAGACATCACATCTGCGTCCAGAATAGTACAGTGTCTGCAAATCGTGAAAAGTAGACAGTCGAAATTTTTTACCACAATCTAAAGGAAGATACAAATGTCTCAGTCGTCTCATCTTCCAAAGCACATCTGGAAATGGAATCATATCACATGATGAAGTGCGTAAATCCATAGTTTGCATGCATATCAAATTACCTATGGACGATGGGAACCGTTCTACATCAGAACCCCTTAGACTTAAAAATCTTAAGTGGACCATTTTCCCAATGGCATTCGGCAATTCCACTGATGTAGCCATATCCTCAAGCTTCAAAACTCTGAGCAGTTTGAATTGCCGAAATAGTTGTGATACTAACTCTTCATCGTTTTGAACACAACATCCAAAGTATAACAAAGACCTAAGGTGGCTTTCTCTTTCAAATCTTGATGGAAACAATTCCTCAACAGTCTCATCCACATAGATGCCAAGTCTTCGAACATTACTTGTTAGTGTTGCCTCAGTTACCGTGGAAAAAGGAAGACGATCCTTTATATGCGACAAATTGACAATTTGGAAAAAGTTCTCCTCTTTTGACTGCAACAAGCACATGTCTCGCATGAGATCATGAAGACGACAAGATTTAATCTTTCTAACAGAACCTTGGTTTTCAATTTCAACCATGCACCTTTCCACCAATTCAGTTAAGTAGCTGTAAGCTATTTCTTCCATCGTTTCCACAGAATCTTGTCTTTGTTGCTCCATCGTTATAAAACCTTCTGCCACCCACAGCTGAGTCAACACATTCGTTGGTATCTCATATTCTTCAGAAAACTGACCCAAATACAGAAAACACGGTTTTAAATAATATGGCAAACAATCATAACTCAGCAACAATACCCATGATGTACCCATGCCTCCTTGTCCATGGCCTTTGCCACTTCTTAGGTATGTATGAATATTCTTAAGTACGGTCTCCCACTCATCAATAGTGTCCTTTCTAGCAAGTAGTCCTGCCAGCACAGTGACAGCTAATGGCAAGCCAGCACAATATTGAAGCATCTTCTTTCCTATATCTTTCATATTTGTAGAAAATTCGGATGCTGAAAAATAATCAAACACCAAATTTATTGTCACTTGTTTAAAATCATAAATGTTATTTGTTCGAATGATTTTTACACTACAATGTAACTTTTTTGTTTTACTAAACGTATGCTAGATATATCAGCAACAACAACAGAAAAACACTTATGCTAGATAATTAAGAAAAACTAATATAATGACAATTATTGCACCAAGTTTAATACAGAAAAACTACTTTGAGATGGGCTCAGCGGACAAGTTCGAGATTCATTTTGCATTTTCTAAACATGCAATTTATTGTGCATATGATAAACAAACATGTTGGTACCAAATTACAAAATTAAAATTAAAATCAAGCAGTTTATATTTCAATTTGGTGGCGTTAATTTGTTTCCAAAGTGAAAATGGCTATAGTTAAGAAAATATAAGGTTCTTACAGAAAAGTATCTTAGAGAAGAATTCCATATGTTATGTGATTTGTCAGATAATCATAATCAATCGTTCCCTAAAAAACAAAATGTTGGTCATGCTTGGAAAACACTAAGGTCTAAAATGCAGCTCAAATGGAATATGAAAGTTTCTATTGTGTTCAATTGACACATATGAAACTAAAGCAAAGACAAAAAATTTGGATGAGAGAATACCTATTCCATCTCTTCCAGAGATTGCTATCTTCTCAAAAAGTGTCCAGCTTTCATCGTCATTCAATGGCTGAGGATGGTGGATGAAACCATTTCTATCTGAATGTAAAGCTACCTCTTTGTTGCGAGTGGTGAGTAATACCATGCTTCCTGATTCCTCACACAATGGAAAAGCAGGTTTCAGTGACTCCCATGCCTCAATGGTCCAAATGTCATCCACAACTATCAAACATCTACTCTTTTGTAGTATAAGATAAATTTCTCTTACTATTTCATCATCCCCCAGTTTTTCAATTTCTGTTCTTTTATCATTGTCAGCAGAAAGAAGTTTAATTAGAATTCCTTCCCAAACAGACCTCACTTGACATTGTTGAGCTATACATACCCAAACAAAAGAGTCAAAATATTTTCTAACATCCGTATGATGATATATTTGTTTTGCAAGAGTCGTCTTGCCCAAACCACCCATACCCCATATAGAAACAACTCGGTGGCGGAATTCTTCCTTCACCAAATGCTTGACCAATTCTTCCACACTATCCTCTAACCCAACAATATCCCGTTCTATAATATGAGAATAGGAGCGTCTTAGTTGCTGCTGCCTCTGGTACGAAGAAGTGGCACCTCCGATTTCCCTAATATTATAGCTTTGCAAGCTTGACCTTAAAATAGAGAGTTGGGCAGTAATCATCTGAATTTCCGACCCAATGTTGTGAAGATCAATTCCTTCTTTCACCACACAAACAAATCTTCTCAGAAAATTCTTAACCCCTCTTTGACCCTTGTTAGACACTCTCAAGAAAAAAATTTCTATGACATCCTCCAAATTATATGCAGCGTCTCTTACTTTTGCGACCACAACACGCACTGTTGCATCCTCTCGTTGCCTTATATCTGCATCTTTCAGAAAACCCTGGATTAACTGCAACTCAGTTTGTGCAGAATCCATTTCATTGCCGAATCTGTACAAGAACTTCGCTTCTTGGACGACGAAGCCCCCGACCCTTTGAAACACAAAGGAAACTACGGACTCAGCCATAGTCTCCTCGATCAAGCAGCACAAGCTATGGGAAACAATACCCCACCCACGGTCATTATGTATACAAAAATAAGCACAAGAACAAATAGCTCAACTAATATATCATATTCTCAGTGAACAAAAACTTAATTGTTCGCTGTCTCAGTAAACAAACACCACATACAAGCACAAATTCGCAGCAATAAAACTCTAAGAAAATTGGGCAGCAACAAGAAGAGAGAGTTCAAACAATTTCATACAAGGAGTTCCAGTAATGTCTATTATGAGGAAAAAACTTAATTGTTTGCTGTCTCCGTAAACAAACACCACATACAAGCACAAATTCGCAGCAATAGAACTCTAAGAAAATTGGGCAGCAACAAGAAGAGATAGTTCAAACAATTTCATACAACAAGTTCCAATAATTTCTATTATGAGGGAAAAACTTAATTGTTTGCTGTCTCTGTAAACAAACACCACATACAAGCACAAATTCGCAGCAATAAAACTCTAAGAAAATTGGGAAGCAACAAAAAGAGAGTTCAAACAATTTCATATAACAAGTTCAAACAATTTACATTATGAGGGAAAAGCCATAAGTTAGAAAGATACCTGGTAGGGAAGGAGATAGATAATTTCCAGTGCCCAGTTCCCTTAGGGAAGATTGAACTGAAGAAAATAGAAAGATATTAAAACCTTTTTAATTAAAGAGAAAGGGGATATTGAGAATAAATAAATATAATATTAAACTTACATGAGTGGTGTGGCTTCAGCTTCAGCTTGCCTTTGCAGTTGTGAAAATGGAGAGAAAATTGTGTCGCCAGGGCCACTGACCCTTCAATGTTCTTTATCAAGGACTCACAAAGCCCTAAAATTTGGCACGAGCGAACCGTGCAGGTCGTCCTTGTTGTCAAATGCTTGTCGAACGAACGACGCCCAACTGCACGTCCGTACATGGCGTTTTGAGGTTTGCAGAAAAAAGCAAAGAACCACACCTAATTTATTGGAATATTTGAGTTTTATATCTTTTTCCTACCCAGTTTTGGTAATTTTCAAATTTGGGCTTTTGTGTGAAAGTGGATCTAAAATTCTAAAAGAGTCTATAGTCCTAGTTCATTTGATGGGCCCCCACAGTCCACAAACAACAGACTTAACGGGCCCAAATAATTTTTTTTTCCCTTCTACCCGATGATCATTTATTTCTGCGGAAATTCTATAATGCGGGATAAGTTGTGCAGGGCTACTTTATAGCCATCAAATCGATCTCATAGTTGAACTCGTTATGCTACAGTTGGGTTGCAATTACCCGTTTTGAAAACAACTTCGTCAAGTGAGAGGAACGTGAGCGTGAAATCTCCATCAAATCTTCTCATAAAAAAATAATTAAAAATCATAAAAATACACCGAAAATTAATACAAACTCCTTACGACATTGGCTTTGACTATGGAGGTCTAGAATCATGATTCCACATATTTATGTTCACAATAATCGTCAAATCAAAGAACATGAGTGTTATGTTATAGAACATAATTTAGTGTTTTGGTTTGTTTTGAAACAAAGTTGAGTTTTCGTTATCATTTTCAAATTTTATGAGTCAAAATTATATTTTTGGAGTTTGAGGGCATAGAGAATGTCACAAGGAGTTCATACCAATTTTCGGGATATTTTTTCGATTTGTATTTAATGTATTATCAATTTTATAAGTTAAATCCTAGAAAAATAATATTAAATCGTATGGGGCGACACATGGTTGAAGCTGAATAGGGCGCAGTCAGTGTGTCTGATGGTTGTCCTCCTGTCATTACACCACGTGTCAGTTCAGATACTTTTATCAAATTTATGTTTAAAAATTCATATAAAATTAATTAAAAATCAGAAAAATACACCGAAAATTTCTACAAACTCTTTTTAACATTATTTTCAATTATAAAGGTGTAAAATCGTGATTCTACATATTTGAGTTCGTGTTAAGCGTTAAATCAAAGAACAAGAGCGTAATGTGATAGAACATAATTTAGTGTTTTAGTTTGTTTTGAAATAAAGAATTGAGTTTTTGTTATCATTTTCAATTTTTACGAGTGAAAATTATATGTTTGGACTTTAGGGCGTAAAGAATGTCACAAGGAGTTCCTACCAATTTTCGGGTGAATTTTTTGGATTTTTATTTCATTTATTATGAATTTTGTAAGTTAAATCCTAGAAAATTATTATTAAATGGTATGGAGCAGCACATGGCGAAAGCTGAATGGGCGCGGTCAGTGTGTCTAACGACTATCCTCCAGTGATTGCACCACTGTCCATTTTGATCCTTTTTTGTTGTTGTTTTTGTTTAAAAATTCATAAATAAATAATTAAAAATCAGAAAAATACACCTTAAATTGTTATAAACTCCTTATGACGTTATCTTCGATTACAAAGGTCTAAAATCATGGTTCCACATTTTGAGTTCATGTTTTTGAGTTCATGATTCCACATCTTCGATTACAGCAACACATGTCATTTCTCTTATATTTTTATTATTTATCTTAAAAAATTCATAAACAATTAATTAAAAATCAGAAGAGTATGCCAAAAAAAAAGGTACTCGCTCCTTACAACAAATCCTTCGAATTTTTGGGTGTAAAATCATAATTCCATATATTTGAGTTTATAGTAATCATTGAATCAAAGAAACGAGAATGTTATGTTATAAAACATTAACTAGTGTTGCATGCAAGTAGGTAAGAAATTTTGGTTTGTTGCATTGCAAGTAAGAAGAGTCTCAAAAGCGATTGACTTGCATTGTGTTGCCTGTATATGTATACGGTGTAAACAAAATTCACTCACCTTTATCTTTGGAAAGATAGCCTATGAGTTTTTGGACACCCTCCTTGCCTAAAGCATTCTTCAAGTAGTTCACAGCAGCTGCAACCTCATCAGGAGTTACTTTCCCATCAAAATCCATGCACACATATTATAAACCTCATACCTTATGGACAAAATGCCAAGACGGTACCATCCATCAAAAGTTTAACATTACTAGTATCCCTCAAAATGAGTTTAATAACAACTCAAACCAACTACAGATTGAAAGAAAAGAAAAGAAGGATTGCTTCCATCCAGTAGGAAGTATGATTTCTAACAGAACTCATAGGAAAAGAAAACCAAAGACGAAACAAGATGAGTTCACCTGTCAAGTAATTGCCAGCAATCACCAATATGTGCATCTACATCAACAATTTCCTTCTCAAGATTTTGAAGCATTGCATCCACCTGATACACAGAAGAAAATATAATCCATCAAGTGAACGAGGGTAAGTATGTTAAAAGTAGATAATTCGGAATTTAATATCTAACCTTGTTTATGAGCACTGATGAAACCTCGTCACCTTCAACCTCAACAGAAGTACTGTCACTTTCATCCCGAGCAACTTTATATGCCTTCAAGGCACACCATCTGTACCCTCATGCTATTGTAAAGTTCAATCTGGAAAGATCAAAAGAAGCAACTAAAGTAAAATATTCCCAAAGACAATGCATTTGGACTAAAACAAGAACATACAGAAGTATTCTTCTGACTTGAACATGATGCTAAAGACAGTGTTGCGTGCATGCATATAATGTGTAGAAGACAGCTCATAAGTAAATCACATTAAAAGTTAAAAAGTCGTCAATCTACACATCCTTCAAACTAAAAGGGGCCAAAGCATAGTGGACATCAACATCATCCAAATTCTTCTAATACATGCACGGTACAAGCAGAAACATGGAAATCAGAACTAGGAGCAATGAAGAGTTTTAAATTACCCCCTTATTGACAAGTCTCAGGAACTCTTCACGCTCCCTACTCACTGACTGAAATAATGGGTCAATAACATAAAAAATTAAAAACTGTTAAGCCATAGTGTAGATGATAGTGCTTGAAAATTTGGAAAAGAAAAAAGAAAAAAGAAAAATCAACAATCATAATCATTGTGAGTTATTAAGTCCAGTCCTTACAGATGCAGAAGCCAAAATAGCCAATGCACGACTTATTTCGTAGAGCTTCTCTTCCTTTTCTAGTGTCCTTGCCCCGGCTTGTTCGGGTTTCCTTGCCCTGGAGTTCGGTTTTCATAATATAATAATTTAAAATCTCTGGATGATAGTCATAATTGTAAGAGTTTGAATTCAAGTTGTATTCCTTTGTGTAAATATTACAATATTTATAATTGCACAATAAAGATATAAACGGTAAAAGCCTTAAATGGCAGTAAATACAAAATATCTGGAGAGCAAGTCAACTATTGTGATTAAGAAGAATCCGTTTCAAATTCTTCTTCCTTGATGAGTGCATGTGGTTTAACCCCCACACACACACCCCCCCCCCCCCCCCCCCCCCAGCGCAAACTGAGCGGCCTTGGATAAACAAGTTTGGAACATAAGAGATGGTGTCGTGGCTTGTGAAGTGGCTTAGTGAGAAGATCCGCAAGTTGATCAACAAAGGGGATGAAGCAGACTTGATGACCCCCAAGGGCCACCTTCTGGAGAACAAAGTGGTAGTCAAGTTCAATGTGGCAAGTACGAGCATGGAATACTGGGTTTGTCGCCATATAAGTGGTGCTGAGATTGTTACAATGCATGAGAACTGGAAAAGACAGTCGAACACCCAGTTCATGTAACAGAGAACAGAGCTAAGAAGATTCAGCCAGGCATGAGCAAGAGCACAGTACTCAGATTCCGCACTGGAGTGCGAAACTATTGGCTGCTTTTTGGAGCACCAGGAAATAAGATTGGAGCCCAAGTAGATGAGGTAGCCAGCTGTCGAACGACGATAGTCTGGGCACCCAGCCCAATCGGCATCTGAGTAAACGGTGTGACGTGTGGAAGGATCTTGGGGTGTAAAATGGAGGCTAAAGTCAATGGTGCCCTTAACATAGCGGAGAATCCTTTTGACGGCAACCATGTGAGGAGAGCTAGTAGAGCTCATAAAGTGGGCCACAGTGTTGACAACAAAGGAAATATATGAGAGGGTAAGGGTGAGGTACTGAAGACTCCCCACAAGTTCACGGTATTCTGTGGGAGAAGCGAGCAAGTCACCATCACTAGCAGTTAGAACAGACTTGGCAGCAAGATGAGTGGAAGCGGGCTTGGCATGTAGGAGATTACTATTGTGTAACAAATCATGAACATACTTGAGTTGATTGAGATGAAGAGCACCATCATGAGAGACAACCTGTAAACCCAAGAAGTAACTAAGAGGACCAAGGTCCTTTGATGTCAAATTGGCGGTTTAAAAGAGATAAAATTTTGTAAAAGAGAGGAATCACTGCCAGTAATCACAATGTCGTCAACATACAGGAGGAGAAAGATAGTGTGGGAGCCTTGCTGAAAGATAAAAAGTGAAGAGTCTGCTAAACTTCTTGAAAAACCAAGGGATAAGAGGAAGGTGCTAATATGATTAAACCATGCATGCGGAGCCTGTTTGAGGCCATAAGGAGACTAGGTGAAGTTCATAGACATTAGTGGGATGAGCAGGGTTCACAAAACCATGAGGCTGAACCATATATACGTCTTCTTGAAGGAAGGCATTCTAGACATCAAGTTGCCGTAAGAACCACCGACGGGAAACAGCAAGACTGAGAACAGTGCGAATTGTGGCTGGTTTGACAATAGGGCTGAAGGTCTCAAAGTAGTCAATGCTAGGGCATTGATGAAATCCCTTAGCCACTAGGCGGGCCTTGTAGTGTTCAATAGTGCCATCAGAATGACGCTTGATGCGGAAGACCCATTTGCAACTGACTGGAGTATGTGTGGGAAATGAAGGAACAAAATACCAAGTCCGATTTCACAACAAGGCATCAATTTCTTCAGACATTGCCGCGCTCCATGCTGGATTTTTGGAAGCCTGAGAAAAACAAATGGGTTCAATATCATCAATGATAATTAAAAGAGCACAAGGGACCGGGTACCGAACTATGCCGTCGGTGCGGTTTTTAGACTGAGAGATGCCATCACGCAGAGGTGTGTGCATGGGATGAGTAGGCACTGGTGGCGCTGGTTTGATAGGTGGTGGAGGAGCTGTGTCCGCAGAGGCAAGGGGAGCAGGGACGAGTGGTGCTTGCGCAGGTTCCATAGATGATAGGCGAGGTCTTCTGGAATATGTATGGATCAAGGGCTGGATTGGCTCAAAAAGAGTCGCGTCAGGTGGATTAAAGGGTGTTGTGTGGTTGGGGCCGAAACTGTGCTATGGGGTGGGGACTGTGGCTTGTGGAAAGATGGAGGTGCGGAAACTTGTGGAAAGATGGGGGTGACGGAAGCTTGTGGAAGGATGGAGGTACTGGAAGCTTGTGGAAAGGTAGAGGTGCCGAAAGCTTGTGGAAGGATGGAGGTGCCGGAAGCATGTGGAATGATGGAGGTGCCGAATGTGGCAATGTCTTGTGTCGGCGTCAATGGGACGTGCACAGGTGGAGGTGGTCCTAGAGTGGCCACATGTGCTGGAGAAGGAGAGGCAGAGACCACATGATGAAAATTTATTTCAGTATACTCCGGGAAGGATGAAACCTACAAATGCTGAAGAGGAAAACTTATTTCGTTAAATAAAACATGTCGAGAGGTATATACACGACCAGTGGAGGGATCGAGGCAGCAATAGCCTTTATGTTGAGTACTGTAGCCAAGGAACACACATTCAGTGGTACGGTTGACATGTTTCTTTTCTGAGTAAGCACCAAGATGTGGGTAACAAGAACAACCAAAAATCCTAAGATAAGAATAAATAGGAGGTTGGTTAAAGGGTTTGGTGTATGGGGTTTGCCAGGATAGGATTAGGGTGGGTAGGAGAATGATGAGGTGTACAGCATTGAGTGCCGCATCAACCCAAAGTGTGTGAGGGGCATGGGCTGTAGTGAGGAGGGTTCGAATTATTGTGGCAATGTGGCGATGTGTACGTTCAGCAAGTCCATTTTGTTGTGGGGTATGGGGACATGAGAACTGTTGTTGAATGCCTAATTCGTGACAGTAGTTAGTGAAAGAGTTGTTGACATATTCAGTGCCATTGTTGCTTTGAAGAAATTTGATGGAGGAATTGAAGATGTTATGTATCATGGAAACAAGAGTTTGAAAATGGTGAAAGATCTCACTTTTTCGACGCATGGGTTGAATCCATGTATACCCGGAATATTCATATGTAAATAAGACATAATACCGAAAATCAGTTGTAGAAGAAACAAGGGACATCCAAACATTAGAGTGCATAATAAAAAAGGGAGAGTGCACATGAATTTCATTAGCAGAAAATGGTAATTGAGTAGATTTGCCAAGGGCACAAGTCTTACAAAATTCCTTATTTAATTTGAAACCTAATGAAGAAGAAAGACGAGACAAAACAGCGGAAAACGGATGACCAAGAGGACAATGCCAAGCAGTGGAATTAATGGAAACGAAGGCATGCTTGACGGGGGAGGCTAATGGAAATGAGATAGGATATAGAGACCATCTTTACATGGGCCCTGAAAAAGAAGAGTACTAGTTTGTAAGTCATAAATTTGAAAAGAAATGGGATTAAATACAAAGGAGATAGAATTATCACGAGTAAAGCGAGCTACGGAAAGAAGATTAGTACAGAGGGAAGGAACATGATAAACATTACGAAGAGAATATACGAAAGAGCTTAAGGAAACAGGAAAAGTACTAGTGGATAAAATGGTTAGAGAATCACCGTTACCCAAATAAATTGAGTCATTACCCATGTAGGATTGGGGGTTCTGAAGGTTGGTGGCAGTACCAGTCATATGATGGGTGGCTCCGGTGTCGAGATTCCAGGTATTTTCAGGAGGTTGGAGAAATTGTGCACCTGCAAAAGGAGGAAAAATTTTAGGGTCGCGGAAGCGGTGAGGACATGTTGCGTGAGTGTGTTGGGCAGTGTTGCACGTGGGGCACCATGGGGGGCCTAGGAGGCCAGGAGCCTAGGACTGATTGCTGTTGACAGTACGCTATAAGGAAGGTGACTGGGGTTGCTCCTGCGAGTTGTTAGCCCAGACGCGATTGGCTGCTGCTACCAACCACGACATGGGCCAGATGAGCCACTAGAATACTACGGTTGGAATTGATGCTGCTGCGAGTTCCAACCCCAACCTCCGCAGCCGCAACAGCCACGACCACTGCTGCAGCCACGTCCAATGCCATGATTAGAAGAGCCACCACAGTGAGAGAAAATTGGTTGAGACTAAGTGTCCATGAAAGCCATGGACTGGCTGGTGTGAATAGGATCAGTGTGAGGAGTTGGAGCTTCATATGAGAGGAATCGAGCACGTAGGTCAGCAAAATCAAGAAGAGGATGAAAATTTAAAAGAGCGGTTACCAGCATTTTGTAATTAGCACCCAAGCCACGAAGAACGCCAATGACGAGATCCTTATTAGAGACGGGCTCATAGATGGCAGCAAGAGAGTCCGCAATAGATTTGGCTTGACGATGGTATTGGTTCATAAAATGGATGAATTCAACAAATATATGTGGGGCTCTATATCGTTTGAGCACCTGCAAGATTCTCTGTTGTTTGCTCGTGAGAAGAAAGAGAGTGATGAAAACAATGATGGGAAGGGGAAATGACAGAGAAAAGCAAAACATACAGTGGAGAGTTCAGTGAAAAAAGTGAAGAAAAAGATGAAGCATGAGAAGCGTAAAAGAATAACAGAACCTCACGGCAGGGACCAAATTGATGTGTGAAGTTTAACATAAAGGATTAATAATGTCAAAAAAAAACATAAAAGACGAAAGGTGATAATTTCGCAAACCTCGGGGACTATTTATGATTGAAAAAAAAAGCCTAAAAGTAAAACATATGGTAATAGTTAACCTCAATGGGCCACATCGGTTCGCTGAGTTCACCAACAGTGGCGAAAGGGTTGAAAACAATCTCTGCACCATTCAAGCCAAATGCTAACCAATTCAAAGGATATTGGTGCCTTCTAGAGCATATGTTAACAACAATTTTTCCATAAGCTGTCTCAAAGACTGGATGTCCAGTATTTCCTTCCATATAAATTATAAGGATTAACGTCAAAAGACCCCCCTGAAGGCTTGGGGTCATTCCCAATATGAGTCCTTGAGTTTCAATTTAATCATTTTACACCACCATGGTTTTTAAATGTGACCAATTTAAGTCTTCCGTTAAGTTGACCGTTTGGTCAAACGTTACCTGATGACGTGTCTATTGTGAGACCCGCAAATTCCTAAAAATAAATAAATAAATTATATAATATAATAAAATAACATTTTTTTAAGAAGCTTTTTAAAAAAAAACCTCCCTCTCTCTCTGCGTCCCCTTCTCTTCCCAGCTCTCCCACCCCATCCCCATTCCCCTTCTGATGAATCCAATCACTCACACTTCTTCTCCGAAGCACAGCTCCACCATCTACTGCTCGTCTGTCCTCGCTGAAACCAAGTCCATCACTCATCTCCTTCCGCTCCGCCGCAGCACTGTCCAGCCTTCTTCCTCATCCCCACCCCACCTCAAGGGATTAATAGTTTCAGTGCATGGGTGAAATGGATATAGAATGTTTTGGGCAAAGAGTGAGATGGGTATGGTGTTTTGATAAAGAGGGTGGCCATGGATGCCATTGAAAATTTGAATTAAGGCCTATTCTTTTTTGTCTCTAGCTCTACTCAAAGTTCAAAGTATCAGAATTTTGATTTTGATTTTTGTAAAACAAAGTAGCAGATTTGATTCAGGGCTAGAAATCTAGGCATTAGAACTACCCTTCTCTAGAGGAGATTTGATTTTGGAATGAGAGAAAATTGCATAGTTCTTAGGCAGATATTTAGGTGAAGCAAAAGAATTGGTATTATGCTTAAGCCTACTTTACTGCTAGCCCAGCTCCTCTGCGACCAATCATTGTTGGACCTTGGGGACCTAAAGTGGTTGCCCAAATTTGAAAACACCCTAAAATCTAGAGGAGAAGTTGGGCTTATAACTGAATCAGAATCTGTTAAACCCTTAGAACACAACCCTACAAACAAACTAGGAACACTGAAAAAAGAGTTGCTTTTGGGATTGTGTCCCAAAACATCAGACCCAGCATCAGCAATTGGCAAATGACCCATTTGGTGTTGATCCTTCTGAATTGACCTGCTTCTTTTCCTCAGCAATATCTGAACTATCTCCCTTTTAAAAAACCGAAAGCCTCCCTTTTCCTCAGCATTATCTCAATTGTCCCCTATATCAAAATTGAAAGCCCTAGGATTATCCACTCTCTCTGTCTCTGCAACTTTTCCAAAATTTCACAAAACCAAAATCACACAAAATCAAAACCGTAACCTTTCTACAACCTATTCGAAGCCAAAATTTCATAGAGCCCAGACGAGTAGTAGATTGTGAAGCTACACTTCGGAGATGAGGTGTAGGTGGCTGGACATGTCAGAGGGTGGGAGAGCAAGGATGAGAAGGGGACGGAGAGAAAGAGAGGGATATATTTCTTTTAAATTTTTTTTTTTATGTTATTTTATTATATTATATAATTGATTTTTTTATTATAAAGATTTATGGGTCCCCCAATGGACACGTCATCAATTAACATCTAACCAAACGATCAACTTAATGGAAGCAGTAATAATATAGATAAACCCTATACCATTGAATTTCTATAAACAAATCCAAAAAAGACCCCAAAAAAAATGATAGCTAGTCCTATTGAATTTAAGTTTGATTATTAAATTACTTTGATACCCTATTGAGTATTTTTTATTTTTAATGAGGTTTTGGGGTTGGGCTTGTTTTAAGAAATTGATGGCAGTTTTGTAATTTATAAGAAGTTAAAAGCCTCTTTGTTTTGTTGTAAATTGGCTTTGAGTGTGTTTCTAAAGTCCATTTCATATAGGGTATTTTTATAATTTAGGCCCCTATATTAGATATAATAGTGAATCTCCGTAATTTCTTCCCAATTCCTTTCCACCCATCCATCCAACTCCTTCCCAATCCCCTCAAAGTTCAAACCATATAAACCCTATCCCTCTTTCTCCCTACCGTCTAGACCCTTTTATTGTTTGCATTTTCTTCCTCCTCCAAAAACATAAACACTTAAGTATATACAAGGAAGCTAAGAGTTTTTCTATTTAAACCTCACACTTCTTTATTCACCCCATGTTCTAAGTTCACCTCAATTTCTAATTCAAATTTTCACAATTTCTAAGAAAACCCCACTATATCTTCCCAAACTACCCTCAAATTAAGTATTTATTTACACACACCCCACTTAACCCTCAGATTGATCCAATAACTTATTAAGTTCTCATTTCGTCAGTTTTCTAGTTTGCCCAATTCAATTGCAAAATAACCCACCTTTACAAACCCCACAATTTCTGGGAAATTTGGAAAAAGGAATTGGAATCCACTTCCCATACCCCACAGAACAATTCATGAATCCAAAGGGCTCGACCTTCATTTTTTAGTGAGATGAAAGCCGTGAATGTTGCTCCCGTAACTTACAATACTTCGATACAAGCGTACAACCAAGAAGGTAATAGCGAGATGGGCAGTAGGCTTTTTGAAGAGATGTCAAGGAATCAAGTAAATGCTAATATCGTGACTTATAATGCATTGATATTGGGACTCTGCAAGGAGGGTAGAACAAAGAAAGCTGCATATCTTGTTAAAGAACTTGATAGAAAGCGCTTTGTCCCATATGCCTCAACCTTTTCTACCCTTATTGAAGGGCAGTGTGTGAAAAAGAACTCGAACCATGCCTTTGTTAATTATTTTGATTTAACTCCCGTTCTCTTGAGCCGTGTACTTGAGCTTGTTCCCGGTGAAGTGTGGGGGGTGTGTGTATAGATGTACAATGATTAAATATTAAGTTGAATGACCTTTTTTTATCTTTTTACACAATAATAAACTTTACAGCTTTACGATTTAAGTATTGGGGTGAACAAAGAGAAGTGTGTGATTTAAATAGAAAAACTCAAAGCTAATTACATTTAATTATATTATATAAATATTTATCTATATGTACAAACCGATCAAACCGAACCCATGTTAACAAAACAAAAAACAAAAAACTTTAATGGGAAAATTGAATGCGGGCTGCGGGTTGCAAGCTCAACAGTGGCATAGGAATTAGGATTTAGCTAGATTCCATGAATCGACCCCAATATATGTGTATATATATAGAAATGGAAGTTAAAATTAAATCATATATAATATAGAAAATATTATTAAGAGAGAGTAATTAAGGAAAAATGAGATAGTGGTGGTGACGAGTACTTTTCCCGGCTTTATGTGAGTATACGTTGTCACTCAAATATTTGGTGATTGTCGAGCGTCAGTCAGCAAGGCCCCTTGGCGTACACTAATATTTGCATTCCCAGAAACTGACAATTCCAGCTAGGAGACCTTCTTCCCTCCTTTCATAAAGCAGACCTCACCCTCTCCTGCATATCACCACCCAGCTCATACACCTCATACTACAGATGTAGAGAGAGAGAGAGAGAGAGAGAGAGAGAGAGAGAGAGAGCAGTGTGTGTGTGTGTGTGTGTGTGTGTGTGTGTGTGTGTGTGAGAGAGAGTGTTTGTGGGAGTGAGCGTTACTAAATATTATTGAGAATTAATTAATTAAGAGGACCCAAAAATGGCCGGTGTTTCCAAGGAGACTGAGGTTGCAGCAGCAGCAGTGAGAGGTAAGGCAGCTGACAAATAGATTGTGATTGGGAACCAGAGTGATATTCATCCTGAAGCAAGCAGCAAATGCGCTTATTCTTCTTCTTCTTCGAGGTCTTCGAAGAGCCAGGGAGGTAGAAGTGGGCCGTGGAGACGATATCCATGTCAGAGAAGGCCGAGAGATTGCCCGCTGGTTTACCAACCACCTGCTAGCCCGCTATGTCTCCCTATTCATCCTCCTCCATCTCCACCGCCCCGTGTAAGCTTAGATCCTTCTCTGTTGATAATCTTGTGGCTATTTTTGTTTACCCAATGGTTAGAGTTGGTTAGAGCTGTTAGAGTTGTTAGGAGGTTGGTTAGCTGTCAGCTGTTAACAGGTTGGTTAGCTTAGCTGTCAGTTGTTAGCACGGTTATTTACTCATTAACCCAAGAGACTAAGTAGATATTTGTATATATATACTGTACTATAAAAACGATTCAGTAAGAAATACATCATTCAGTTTTCTCATCTGCTCTCCAAAACTTCTAGTAAACTCTTTTCTCCTTATCTCTATTACCATGGTTAGCATGGTATCAGAGCCCTTCGTGGTTCTGAGGGCCTGATTTCTTGCTTCCGCTACCCTATTCTTCCCTCTATTTTCTTCTTCCCCCTGATTTCTGGCCATCCTTCACCTTTGTTGATTCTGCATTCTGATTCTGTCTTCGATTTCTTGCAATTTCTGCACTTTCTGCACTTTCTTTTTCCTGTCTGACATATAATTCTGCAATTTCTTCGATTTCTTCGTTTCTACAATTTCTTCAATTTCTTCGTTCTACAATTTCTATGGTTACTCTATCTCCTGCTTTCATTCTGCAATTTCTTCGGTTTCCTCGCTAGTCTTCGGTTTCTTCGTTTCTGCAATTTCTTCACTTTCTTCGGTCTGCAATTTCTGTGCTTACTCTCTCTCCTGCTTTCATGGCGACTTCACATCTCAAGATTGACGGTATTCTCGGTCTTATCACGATCCGGTTGAAGGATGATAACTTCTTGAAGTGGCGATATCAACTTGAGTCAGTTCTGGACGGATACGATCTCTTTGGCCATTTTGACGGCTCAAACATTACACCTCCAAAATTCGCAATTTTGGATGAGGAAGGTGTCACCTCTAAACTCACTGCAGCCTACAAGGACTGGTTGCAGGTCGACAAAGCACTTCTTAGCTTGTTGATCGCCATGCTTTCTGATGATGCGCTCAAATATGTCATCGGTTGCAAGACGGCGCATGATGCCTGGATGAATTTGACGGATCGATATGCCACAGTCTCTCATGCTCGTATCAATCATCTCAAAACTGAGCTTCAGACTCCACAGAAAGGCTCTGACTCAATTGAGAAGTTCTTGCTTCGCCTTAAGCACATTCGCGATCACCTTGCTATTGCAGGTGTTTTGGTGTTCGACAATGATATGATGATTGCAGCCTTGAATGGCCTTCCTTCTGAGTATGATATGATTAGGACAGTCCTGGTTGCTAGTGACACTTCGCTTTCCTTCAAAAACTTTCGCAATCAATTGTTGGCGGCTGAACAAGCTGCAGAGGCACGCGTGCTTTCTTCTCATGCACCTATGGTTGGCATGCTAAGTCATTCCTCTTCTTCTGGTTCTTCCCATGCCTTCTCTGGTTCTGGTCATGGTGACGGTCTCCTTCCAACTCCTCCAATGCCTCTTACTGCCTATATGAGTTCGCAGCTTTTTGGTCGATCTTTTCCTCATGCTTCTGGTGGCCGAGGAAAATTCTCTGGTTCTAAACCTTTTGGCCGTGGTTTTCAAGGCAGGTTTCAAGGTCCTCCTAAGTCTGGTGGTGGTGTTGTTCCTGAGTGTCAAATCTGCAGCAAGCGAGGTCACACTGCGGTTAATTGCTATTTTCTCAATTCGACTACCGCTTTTCTCGGGTCCTCTTCCACAATTGAATGTCAGATTTGTGGCAAAAAGGACCATGGGGCTCTAGATTGTTACCATCGCTCCAACTATGTTTATCAAGGTTCTCCACCACCTGCCTCCATCACTGCCATGGCAGCTCAGACTTATTTCTCTCCTGATGCTGTCTGGATTGCAGATAGTGGGGCATGTCATCACACGGTGCCTCATATGACTACAATGGACTCTGCTTCGCCTTGCACCTTCTCCGATCAAGTCAGAGTGGGAAATGGGGAAGGTTTGCGCATTGATCATATTGGTTCAGCTTATATTCCCACTGCAACTTCTTCTCTATCTTTATCTTCAGTTTTTCATGTGCCTCAGCTTACGGCCAATCTCTTTTATGTGTATCACTTATGCCGGGATAATAATTGCCGTATGATTTTTGATCAATTTGGATTTTCTATACAGGACAAAGTCACCAACAGGGTTCTGTTCCACGGCAAGAGTGATCATGGCTTGTATCCTATCCCATGCTCTGTCCCTGTTTCAACTCATGTAGACAATAAGCAGCCAAAGATGGCTTTTGTTGGACAACAAATTCATTCCTCGTTGTGGCATAAACGATTGGGTCATCCTACGAATGAGGTTGTTCAACTCATGCTTAAGGAAGCATAGCTCCCGGTAGTTTCAGATTCCATATCTCAGATGTGTGCTTACTGCTTAAATGGTAAAATGCATCATTTACCTTTTCTGCAAGGCATGATAAGGCACTTCTTCCTTTCTATAGGATTCATAGTGATGTATGGGGGTATGCACATTGTAAATCAGTTGATGGTTATCGATATGTTGTAAGCTTCATTGATGAATATACTGGTTTTTTGTGGCTATACCCTCTTTGTGTCAAATCTGAGGTGTTCTCTCTGTTTCGTAAATTTTTTGCCTTTATTACCAATCACTTTCATGCCTTAGCAAAGTACTTCAAGTGATGGAGGGGGAGAATATATGAGTCATCAGTTTCAGGATTTTTTATCTACTCATGGCATTGTTCATCAAGTCTTATGCCCTTATACACCTCAGCAAAATGGGCTTGCTGAAAGAAAAAATAGGCATTTTGTAGAGACTGCCATTACTCTATTAACTGAAGCTTCTATGCCTGACAAATTTTGGTTTCATGCAATGGCACATTCAGCTTACCTCATTAATCGGATGCCTAGTAAGGTTCTTGCCAATCAATCTCCTTATTTTCGGCTTTTGCAGAAACTGCCTGATATCATATATTTGCGTGTGTTTGGGACTGCTGTTTATCCATGCTTACGAAAGACCAATTCTCATAAATTGCAACCTCGTACTGCTACTTGTGTGTTCATGGGATATCTTATGGGCTATAAAGGCGTTTTGTGCTATAATTGTACTACTCACAGATTTGTCATCTCTCGCCATGTCATCCATGATGAGTCAGTGTATCCTTTCAAGCATCCCAACACTTTACACTCCAATATTATGTCCTCTGCATCTCCAACTCTATCCATTAATCTACCTTCCACTCGTGTCAATCATCCCTCTTCCTCTCCCGGTCGTCTTGAGTTCTCTCCTGCTGAACCATTGCATCTCGTTTCTCCAGATGCATCTTCTTCTTCGATTCAACCTCTAGGGTTCTTTTCCCGTTTCGTCAGATCAACATGTGTCTCCTATTTATCATGACATTTCTGGTTCTTCTTCGAGTCTCACTTCTTCTCGGAACATACATCCAATGACTACCAGGTCCAAATTTGGTCTGTGTCAAAAGAAGTCTTTTGAGGATTATCAGTGTTTTACTTCTATGCATGATTCTACTACTCTTAATAAGCCTTCTACATTTCGTGTGGCTTCTTTCTCTCCTGCCTGGATTAAGGCTATGGAGGAAGAGATTTCTGCCTTAACCATGCAGGGTACATGGTGTTTGGTACCTCGCCCTGCAAATACAAATATTGTTGGCTCCAAGTGGATTTACAAGATCAAAAGAAATTCAGATGGGACAGTTTCTCGCTATAAAGCTCGGCTGGTGGCACATGGGTTTAGTCAGGAGGCCGGCTTTGACTACGATGAAACCTTCAGCCCCGTGGTACGTCATACCACAGTTCGTTTTATTCTCAGTTTGGCTTCTATTAATGGCTGGTCTTTGCGGCAACTCAATGTCAAGAACGCTTTTCTCCATGGCGAACTTGACGAGGTGGTTTACATGAAACAACCATAGGGCTTTGAAGACTCTTCTCATCCTGACTATGTGTGTAAATTACAGAAGTCTTTATACGGTTTGAAATAGGCTCCATGGGCCTGGAATGCCAAGTTCATGGGCTACTTACCTTCTCTTGGTTTCAAAATGTCACATAGTGATCCAAGTCTGTTTGTGAAGATTTCAGATTCAGCTATCGTTGTATTGTTGCTCTATGTTGATGATATTATTCTCACCGGTTCAAACTCTCACGTTATTCAAGAGGTTATTACAGATCTTGGTTCAATGTTTGATCTCAAGGACTTGGGTCCCCTTACCTTCTTTCTTGGCTTACAGATTTCGTATAAGTCGAATGGTGATCTTTTTATCAGTCAACAGAAGTATGCCAAAGACCTTTTAGTCAAGGCTGGGATGGAATCATGTCGGTCATGTCCAACTCCCTCTAAACCTCACACACAGGTTCTTCCCACATATGGTGAACCTTTAAATGAGCCATCAGTATACCGCAGTATAGTGGATGCTCTTCAGTACCTAACTTTTACAAGACCAGACCTCGCCTATTCTGTTAATACTGTCTGCCAATTTATGAACAATCCCACAGAGGTTCATTTTCAGTTGGTTAAAAGGATTTTGTGCTACATTCAAGGGACTTTGCACTATGGTCTTACTTACTCTTCATCTGTTCCAGTTTCGTTGTCTGCATATAGTGATGCATATTGGGCTGGTGACATTACCACTCGACGATCAACCACAGGATTTGTTGTCTTCTTGGGTTCCAATCCAATTTCATGGCAGTCTAAGAAGCAGGGGTCTGTCTCCCGTAGCTCCACTGAAGCTGAAAACCATGCTCTTGCTAATGCCTTAGCAGAAGTAGCTTGGATTCATCAGATACTTGCAGATCTTCATGTCTTTCTCCCATAACCTCCACTGTTGTTTTGTGATAACATGTCTGCGTTAGCTCTCAGCTCTAATCCCGTGTTCCATTCTTGTATCAAACATTTGGATGTCGACTTCCATTTTGTTCGAGAACGTGTACAACGAAAAGACTTCTTAGTGCAATACATTCCTACTGATGATCAGGTTGCAGATGTTCTTACTAAGGGGCTTCATAGTCCAGTATTTGTTAAGCATTGTACCAATCTCAGTTTAGGCACCCTAACTGAGATTGAGGGGGGGTGTTTACCCAATGGTTAGAGTTTGTTAGAGCTGTTAGAATTGTTAGGAGGTTGGTTATTTTAGCTGTCAGTTGTTAGCACGGTTATTTACTCATTAACCCAAGAGACTAAGTAGATATTTGTATATATATACTGTACTGTAAAAATGATTCAGTAAGAAATACATCATTCAGTTTTCTCATCTGCTCTCCAAAACTTCTAGTAAACTCTTTTCTCCTTATCTCTATTACCATGGTTAGCAATTTTTAATCATATATGTAGCGATCTATGTGCTTTAGCCTCGATGCATGGGTTTTTCTCTCAAAGACTGATTTTTGTTTTTTTGTTTTACACAGCTGGACTTAGGGTTTCTCTCATGGCTGATAAAGTTTAAGATGATGTCTCTATGGTTTTCCCCCTAATCTCTTCATATAATTGCTGTTTAATTGTATGTCATGTCTCTGATATGAATTTAGTCTCTGACTTTTTTAAACTTAATTTTCTGATATGATTTCCCAAATTAATTCCTTTTCCTTTCTAATCTAAAATCATATATCAGATTCTTTTCATTTTGATTGTTAAATTATTATAACCTAGCTAAGATCTATGACAGAGTACTCAGTTGAAGAGCTATTCGACATAGCTTTGGTTAAATCATCTTTTGTTTCTCCTTTTCTCAAGTAGGGCCCAAGAATCAAAGGGGTACTTTGATCATATATATATGGTTGTTTGCACTGTTGTAGATGTCATATATGCTTCTGTTTGTTTCATTACCATTAAGATCACAACAAATTAGTGCTAATCTTACATGGAACTCCTGTTGTGATGATTTAGCAAAGTTTCTTACTACATATGTACATGTAATGCTTTCCCTACATGCAGGTACGTTAGCATCTACGTATAGTAAGTTAGGTAATACCGTTAACTTTACATCACTTTCACACGTATACAGGACCGGCCCTAAGATTTTGGTGGCCCAGGGCAAAGTCAAAAAGAAGGCCCTATAAATGCAAGACTACTTACAAGTAAAAATATTTGTTTTCATTTATACGTGTGTATATAGAATGTAGACCTTTTACAACTAGTAACAAAAATTAGGCCTTAAAAAAAATTTCATTTTATTTGTGGAAATGTTTAAAATTTTTATATATAAAGCAATGATTGAACACAAGAAAAAAAATTGAAAGAGATTGGAAGAAAAATATGACATTTTAAGTAGTAAAATGCACCAAAGGAAGAAAGAGGGGTAGAACAATATATGTTAATTATATAAACCACAAATTAGTCCTTCCAAAATCATTTATAGTCGGTTTTTTTTTCCAAAGATAGTCCATTTGATACATTTATAATCAGAACATCAACTCATCAAGCATCATTAAAAAAGAAAAAAAGGTTTTATTTCTTAACACTAGTAGGACTTGAACATAGATTTGGTTTGAATAAAATCAAAGATAACCATTAATGCAAGATGGAACTTCAGAAATCTTGATGTTATTAGCTTCTTATCACTACTACAAAAATTGAAATAGACGACGGGAAAACACCGTCGTCTTTTTCTTTTTCAAACCGTCGTTAAATCGACAGTCATCTTTTTGAATGTCAAACTACGACGGTAATTAACCGTCGTCTTTACATTAATAGACGACGGTTATTTCATAAAAATCGTCGTCTATTACATTAATAGACGACGGTTATTTAAGAAAAACCGTCGTCTATTACATGTAATAGACGACGGTTTTTAAAAGAACCGTCGTCTATTAATGTAATAGACTACGGTTTTTCTGAAATAGACTACGGTTTTACATTTTAGTTTTTTTTTTCTTGTTTCCTATGGTATCAGAAATATATACTCAAATATGTTATTACCCACGGAACACATATATATACTAAAAAATTGTTTCTTTCATGAATAGAATATCAAGAGTACAATAGAACAAAATAAAATCTAAAAAATGAAAGCTACAAGCTGCAAGCCTAATTACAATAATACATCAAAATTCCTATACCTAATTATCCTTCTAGTCCAGTTCTCCATATGTATATAGAGCTATACATTCATCATCACCACTTGTCATCATTCCAAGCTGCTTTGCCAACACAAAAATTATTTGCTCCTAAACATCAAATTGACATACATATCAGATTCTCTTTTTTTTGTTTTATATAAAGTGGGGTCGAATTGTAAGTCAACTGGCCCGTCTAGCTCAGTTGGTAGAGCGCAAGGCTCTTAACCTTGTGGTCGTGGGTTCGAGCCCCCCGTGGGCGAAATTATGTTTGTTTCTGTTTTAAATTCTATCTACTCTTTTTTGGGCCAGAGTTGTGATTTGTTTGGGTTATTATGGTTTTATCGGCTCCAATTGAGAAGACAAGCACTGTGCCCGTCTAGCTCAGTTGGTAGAGCGCAAGGCTCTTAACCTTGTGGTCGTGGGTTCGAACCCCACGGTGGGCGAAATTTCGTTTATTTCTGTTTTAAATTCTGGCTGCTCTTTTTTGGGCCAGAGTTTTGATTTCTTTGGGTTTTGATAGTTTTATTGGGTCAATTGAGAAGACCAGCACTGTGCCCGTCTAGCTCAGTTGGTAGAGCGCAAGGCTCTTAACCTTGTGGTCGTGGGTTCGAGCCCCACGGTGGGCGAAATTGTGGTTTTTCTGTTCAAATTTTTGGCTACTCTTTTTGTGCCAAAGTAGTGTAGTGCTGGTTTCTTTGGGTTTTTGACCCTTTTATTGACTCAATTGACAGAACCCATTTGTACCCTACAACCCAATCCGTGTGGTGAATTATCATTTCAATTCTTGGGTCACTTTGAACGCTCCATGAGTAGAAGATTTGCGAACATTTTACAAAAGTCTGGAACATTGCTGAGCTCATTGCTCAACCAGTCACCATCTAATTACTTACCATATCTGCTGGCAACAAATTGGTCAGTGTCTCAGTGAAAGGTCTACAACACAACAACAGATGAAGCTTTGGGCATTGACGTCAAAGTTTTAGAGTTTCTGTCTCATGACAAGTAGCTGATGAGGTGGTAAAGAAACACACATGATACATGCACTTCTGCCACATGACAACAGCGACATATCAATGTTGTCACTGGAAAGTGGTTGATTCATTTTATGAAAATAATAATAATAACAACAACTTGCAATCGATATCTCAATTTCAAAATGCAGAAAGTCAAGGGAAAACCAACATTCTCTACAATGCAGGCTAATTAATGACAATATGAAAAAAGGGGCAGGTGATGCTCCTCATTAATTTTTAGCAGAATGGGCAGAGGACACTGGCCAAGTTTAATGCAGTTGCTTTTCCTCTATTTTCTTTCTTTTTCCTGGTTGCCTGCAATGAAAAAGATTCAGAAAATGACATAGGAAAGGACCTTTTTCCTAATTTGATAGAAGCTTAGAAGGTGCACGAGTGGTCTAATCCAGCAGGCTGCTTTCCAGTGTCCTCAAAGCTTCCACCATCCTGAAAATGTTTATCAAATTAGGAGATCAAATCACTCAGTATTTTATTTTTTATTATTAATACCAGTCTTTGTTTGCATGAACTTTCGTCATCAAATTATTAAGTGTTACTACTACCTGAGCCTGAGGAATTAAGCTGGCTTTCTGATCCTCGGTGAGTAATAAGGAAGCCAAAGTACCCGGCGGTGCAGCATCCGCCAAAGACAGGAACTGGACGGAGCTAGGAGGCTCTAGCACAAATGGCAATGGAGGTTCCAAGCAACATAGTCTCTGGGGGATTTATGTATATGTTGTTGGAATTAGTACAGTTAAAAGGAGAATATAAATCTACTTATGTCTAGCTTCCATGAAGCTACCTGATCTGAAGCACATGGATTTGTACTTGGGTTCAGCTCACAGTCATCATATAGCATGGCATCCACAAAAGCAAGCTTTGCTGCAAGGCACTGAGCAAGGAAATAGGCTGTGGTTACTTACTGGATCATAATAATAACAAAGCGAGCTGCTCCTAATTCTGTTTTCTTAATTAATGTTGGTACTAAGTAAAATTAGTAATGTATCACCTCAACTTGATTCTGTAGTAATTGAACATATTTGATGATCTCATCCAGTACATGAGCCTTGCCATTTATCTATAATCATGATGTAAAGCAAAAGATTTAAACTAAGATTAGCTGGTAAACTCTGATTTTCTCTGAGAAAAAGTCAGAAACATGAACCAATAACTTAAAATAATTTATCAGTACCTGATCACAACCAGGAACAAGAGACTGCAAAAGTTTCATTCTCTCACTGATTTTCTCTCTTCTTGCCTGGAAACAGCCATTTGAGAATTGTATCAAGTTTCTGTTCTTTTTAAGAGAAATATAGGAGATGGATTAAAGGACTTGCAATTGCAAATACCCTTTCAGCAAGGCTGTGACTGTCAGTTGCTTCACCCCTTCGTGCTTTCACACGGACGCCATCTCTTTGGACCCCTTCAGCAGAAGCAGCAGCAACTTTGCTCTGTTTCTTTGCTTCACTCCCATTCTGCTTCCTCTGTTTCTTCCCTTTGCGCTCTCCTTCTTCCTAACCAAGATTAACCCACACAAAAATAAAAAATAAAAAATAAAGCCACCCAAATAGTGAGGGAAAAAAAACCCAGTTCACCAAATGCAACATAAAATGCATGTAAGGTACCTCAGGAACCATTTTCTTCCTCTTTCTCTCCACTTGGGTTTTTTGGAACAGCCTCAATCAATCCTGATCACCACCCCACCACCACATATATGTTTGAACTTTCAAGTTTCAAGATTTTCAACGATGAAGGATGATGAGTCTCTGTACTGTGAAAGTGACCATTCCAATTTCCACAAGAGCTACTTTTAAGAAGCTCTGTTTATTAATTAATAAGGTTTCATGCATTTGGGCATGCAGGGGAATCTCCTGAAGTGTTTTCTCCCATCTGAGATATATAATTGGAGAGAAATAGGCGGTGATATAGATGGTTGCTTTATTTCCCAAAATAAGCTAGACAATTTCTTGGCTGTTGGCGCACGAAAGACGAACCGAGAGCATCAGGGGAGGAGATATTGGCAAAAGGCGAAGAAAAGGCTGCCATTTGAGTACTTTGGGTTTGAATTGTAAAGTAGATGGGTCTGGTTCTTCATGATGAATGCATTGGCTGGAGCTAGAGTGGGCCTTGTTTAAGGATGAGAGAGAGAGTCTGAAAGAGAAAGGAGCTCATCTCTTGTTCATGGCTCCGTCCAAACTCCAACAATAAGCTTATTTCTCTCTCTGTCACTTTCAGTTTTTTTTTCGGTTTGTCTTTTTTTCTTGGATTGAGATGTTACTACTTATTTCAAACTCATGACTCCAATAGCCCATTGGATTAAGTCATCAGCCCAATAAAGTAGACCCCATTTGTTTATTTCTTAACTATGGCTATCACATTTCTAAAACATTTCTACCGGAGAAGTTCTATATGCTCTCGAGGTTGATTCATGGGCCTTTTGAAACTCCATAAGTTCATTGCTTTCTTTGATAAAGCGATATTTTAAGTTACTCTAATATACAGAGAGAGGATCGAATTTAAGTGCAAGAGGATCGATACTTTACCTAATCCACGTGTGCATCACTATTAGTTGGTGTGGTTTAGTCCATTTATCTTTTCCATTTTGTCCTTGAAATTGAAATTCTTGGCAAGGCTTTGTTTGCTCCCATTCGGATTTGCTACACCAATTGTGTTCAATGCTGTTAATTCAATATGATGGAGGAAAATGATGGTGCTGAAAAAGCAAAGCAAACATCAATTCGGGAATGTCGAATTTTCTTTAATATTTCTTGGCACTATTTATGTCTTTTATTACGCACTCGGGCAAGTGGGGGTGTTAGTGATTGGACATGTTGAATTCTCGGTCAAAATGGCCTTTCGTTTTAGGGATGCACTGTGCATGCCCGTTCGGTAGTGGCTTGACAATGGCTACCTAACAACAGACCAACCTTTTACCGAGCATAAATTATTATTAAAAAAGAAAACAAAAAAACAATGTGTAAGAAATCCGACATAAGCTTTTTTTGTTAAGTTTCTTAAACAACATAATAAATTATTATTCAAAAATTATTTATAAACCTCTACTTTGTTGGAAGAACTCCAACTCCGAATTCAAATAGTTATTTAAGAGATTAAAAGTAGTTTATTTGCTATTAGTGGGTTGAAAACGCCCCTTATGGGTTTTCTGCTCTTTTTTATCAAAAATATTGAGATCTTTGCTATAAAGATATCCTTTCTCCTGTCAAGGATTGTTTTGTCATAGCTTCTCTCCCTGAGCATCTTAATGATACTTAATTGCTTTGGTTCCTAAGGTTGAAAGGCCTCTTAATATGGCTAAACTTAGGCCTATTAGTTTATGTAATATTCTTTATAAAGTGGTTTATAAGATTTTGGTTTCCAGGCTTCGTCCTATTATGACTAAAATTGTTAGTCCCATTCAAGTCAATTTTGTGCCAGGGAGACATATAGTTGATAATGTTGTGATTGCTCAAGGGATGCTTCATAAGTTCAAGATTGCTAAAGGACAAAAGAGTTTTATTGCTTGGAAAATTGATCTTTATAAGGCCTAGATTGTTCAAGTTGGTCTTTTATTAGAAAGGTTCTTTGTGAAATTGGTTTTGGAGGGAGAGTTTTGGAGCTCATCATGCATTGTATTAGTTATGTGCAGTATAAAGCTATTTTAAATGGTGAGTTAACAACTGATTTCTCTCCTAAGTGTCGTATACGACAAGGATACTCTCTTTCTCCTTACATTTTCATTCTGTGAATGGAAAAGCTCTCCCATATAATTCAGCAAAAAGTTATTGACCAAAGTTGGAAGACTATGCAGATTTGCCCAATGGCCCTTTATCTCTCATTTAGTTTTTGCTGATGATTTGGTTTTGTTTGGGATGGCCTCTATAGAGCAAGCTTTAGTGATGAAACAGTGTTTGGATGATTTTTGCTCCCTTTCTGGTCAGAAGGTCAATTTTGAAAAGTCTATGGTTTGTGTATCCCCTAATACTTGTCCTATTTTGGCTCAGAATATTGCCTATATTAGTGGTTCTCCTTTATCAGATAATCTTGGTAAGTATCTTGGAGTTCCTTTAATTCAAACTAGAGTTACCAAAGATACTTATCAGGAAATTATTGATAAAGTCCAAAAATGCCTCTCTTCTTGGAAAAGTCACACTTTGTCTATGGCTGGCTGGCTCACGTTAGTAGTCACCTCTGCTATTCCTATATATTCTATGCAAATTGCTATGTTGCATGCTTCTATTTGTAACAAGCTAGATCAGTTAAATAAGAATTTTCTTTGGGGGCATGCCTTTGATAAGGCTAAGGTGCATCTTGTGAATTAGGAAACTGTGTGTAAGTCTAAGTGTGTTGGTGGTTTGGGAGTGAAGAAGGCTGCTTGGATGAATCAAGATTTATTGGCTAAATTCAGTTGGAGACTTCTTCAGAATGACCAAGGGCTTTGGGCCAAAGTTCTTAAGGTTAAATATTTAAAACACTATGATATATGTGTATGCTAATAAGCATCAGTTTCATAGTTGCTCTAGCAGCTGGAGGGGTATGTTGTTTGGTGCTAAGCTTCTTCCCTTTGGTGTTAAATGGAGAGTAAGTTCTAGTGATTCCATTTTATTTTGGATTGATGTTTAACTGGGTTATGGTGCTCTTATAATTATGGCCTCATTGATTTATTTGAGGAAATGCTCTAGTTGAATGTGAGTGATTTTCTAGAGGAGAGTTTGTGAGATATTGCTTGTTTGCAAGAGTGTCTTCCTCCGGATATTGTGCTGATGATTACTAGTCTTCATGATGGTTTCATTTATGGTGGTTTTGATATGTGCATTTGGAGGTTTACTTCTAATGGAAATTTTTCTGTGAAATCTGCCTATCAATTGTTTTGTCCAATTGAGTCTGGTTCTAATTGGCAATGAGAGTTTATTTGGAGGTTGCAGCTTCCTCCTAAGGGTAAGACCTTCTTTTGGGTGCTTTGTCATAAAAAGCTCCTTACTAATGCTCAAAGGTAATGTAGAGGTATGGCAGTTTCTGCTTCTTGTCCTCGATGCATTTATCCAATCGAATCTGTTGATAATTTGTTTAAAGGTTGTAGTTCTTTCTTTTTAATTTAGAATCAATTTGGCAGTTTGTTTAAGGAATCCAGTATTTCTTATCCTAATTTTGATGATTGGCTCTTCCATAATCTGCATTCCAAGAGATCTTTTATGACTAGTTTGACTTGGAATTTGGTGTTTCCTGTTAGCCTTTGGTTCATCTGGAAATGGCGATGTAAGCTTATTTTTTAGCACGATTTTTTGCTTCCCTCTGAGCCGCAACAGGTGATTCTGCAGTGTGTTATGGGTTGGCTTACAGCCACTAAGTCTATTTATGTTCCTCTTCATCAGGGTGTAGTTTATTTTCATTGGCAAGCCCTTTTGCCAGGGAGTTGTAAGGTTAGTTCTGATGGTAGTCGAAAGCATGCTCTTGGTTTCATTGAAGCTGGGGGGTCTGTTAAGAGATCATGATGGTAACTGGATTCAAGGTTTTTATGTTAATTTGGGTGTTGGGTTAGTATTTTTTGGGGGCTCCATTTAGCTTGGGAAGCTGGGTTTTGAAGTGTGGAGGTTGAATGTGATTCTAAGTCTGCTGTGGTTCTGTTACAAAATCCTAATAGTGATACTCATTCTCTTTTTAGCATTATCAATTGCTGTCATTTGTTGATTCAAAAGGAGTGGTGCTATTATGTCAAGCATACTTTTTGAGAGTAGAATTTTGTTGCTGATTCTTTGGCTTCTATGAGCCATGATCTTCCCTTTGGGTTTGCATGTTTTGGATTTAGCGCATTGTGTGGTTGTTAAGCTTCTTGCTGTTGATGCTAGAAGCTTGGCTAATCCAAGGATGGTTGTTGTGTTGTTTGAGCTTTGGGCCCCTTTTTACCTCCAAACAAAAAAATCGTTATTTAAGAAAAAAGAATTATGCTCAATCGACATCGTATTTGGATAGAAATCTAATTAGTACAAAGTATCAAATTTAGGTCATGATTGAATTATGACTCATATATAGCTTTCCGTATCATATTTAAATAAAAATCGGATCACTAAAGACTTGGTAATATAAAAAAAGAAAAAAGAGGAGATGGTATTTTTCTTTAATTTCTATTACTTTTTGAGAAAATTAAAGCAATTAAAGGTAAAATGAGCCAAATATTTGAGGATGCGACAAGGAGTGGTTGCAATTTGCATCTACGTATTGATGGGTTTTGAACTATTCACATGAAATTTCAGACTTGAGAGGGGGGCAAAAAGGGAAAAAAAGAAGAGAAAATAGTGTTCGGGCGGCCTGTCCATCCAAAAGTCCAGGTCATGAGCCACAAACGAGTCAAATTACCCACCACAACTAAATTACCGATTCCTTTCGTAATGGGGTAAATGGCTTTTGTCATTAAAAAGCTCACCAGGGCCCTCTGTATCTTTTTTCCGATTCATGACGTGTACGGCTCAGATTCAAACTCTTCCGTGTGCTAGATTCCCTCGTCCTTATAAACTCGTCCCTCTTCATCCCCCGTTCTTTACTCTCTCATCGTCTTTCCTCTTATTTTTATGTGTTTCTTTTATTTTTTCTCTTCTCGATCCGAATCGTAAATAATCCCCAAGATCGCGATCTGAAAACTCTGCCAAACAGATCTCAAACCAAAGTTTCCACACAAAAATTCAATCCTTCTTCTCTTCTTTTTGTTTCTTCTAATCCAATCTAATTTACCGCGCTAATATTCAGATCTCTGGAAGAGAAAAAAGATAAAAGAACAAAAAATAAACCCTAAAAATTCAATTTTGTAAGAGATTGTATAAATACTTAGTGAAAATCCTTTTTGGGTGTTCGTAGAAGTTGAATAATTTACACCTATTTATGGTCGTTGCTGGATCTAATTGTACTGGGTGGAACAATTTCAAAGAAATCGAAGAAACCCTAGGGGGTCTGATGGGCAAAGATGAGAGTGCCAAAGTTGTTGAAGATGTAGAAGAAGGTGAAATTTCCGATTCAACTTCAGTGGAGGAGATCAGTGAAGAAGATTTTGTTAAGCAGGAGAAGCAGGAAGCTAAGGTTCCTCCCATGGAATCCAAATCAAATGGTGGAGATGCTTCTAGGGTTTGGACGATGCGCGACATCTACAACTACCCTGGATTTCGGGGCTATGGTTCTGGGTTGGCGAACCTCGCTTGGGCTCAGGCCGTACAGAATAAACCTCTCAATGAGCTCTTTGTAATGGATGTTGATTCCGAAGAGAAGTTGAAGCGATCGTCGTCTTCGCTGTCTCTGAATCCTTCTAGTAGAGAAGATAGGAGCAATGCGAAGGAAGTGGATAAAGTGGTGATTGTTGATAGTGGTGATGAAATGGATGTTGAGAAGGAAGAAGGGGAGTTGGAGGAGGGTGAGATTGATTTGGATTCGGAGCCTGCAGATAACGAAAACGCTGCGGCTGGCGAAGCCAAAGATGGTGTTTTGAATTCCAATAATATGAACATCGATAGTTCAGTGACTGATTTGAAGAATGATCCTCCTCTTTTTTCCCCTGAGCAGATGAAAGAGGTGAGCTTTTATTTAATCGAGCTCAGCAACTTTTAGCTGTTTTAGCGTAATCAGTTTAGGATAATTGTTGATATTTCAGAAAGTATTGACATGGTTTCTATGTTTTTTCTCAGATAGGGGTGATGATATCGTCTGTAGATTTCCCTGATGTTTTAGTCCGAACTAAAGCTGGTATTAAAGAGAATGAGATAAAGATTATTGATGAGGTTAATAATAAGGATTCTGATGCTTCAGCTGTAAATGCTAGTCACGCACTCACTTCTACAGCTAATTTTGCTTCAGACTCTGCTGTGGTTCATAATAATCCAATTATGTTGTCTGAAGTTCCAAGACCAGGAGTGTCTAGTTTAAAGGGTAGAGGGGTCCTGCTTCCCCTCTTGGACCTTCACAAGGATCATGATGCAGATAGCCTTCCTTCGCCCACACGAGAAACCCCTTCATGTTTTCCTGTTCAGAACACATTGGTTGTTGCTGATGGGATGGTAAAATCAGCGTCAGATACAGCTACCGCTAGAGTGGCGCTGAATGCAGAAGATTCTAGATTGCATTCTTACGAAACTGAAGCTCTTAAAGCTGTATCTTCCTATCAACAAAAGTTTAATCGGAGTTCTTTTCTCATGAGTGAAAGACTTCCAAGTCCAACCCCTTCGGAAGACGGTGGTAATGGGGATGATGATACTGGTGGAGAGGTTTCTAGTTCTTCTGCTAGCAATTTAAGAACTTCATGCCCTCCTATTTCAGGACGGCAAATTGTTTCTCCTTCCCCTATCCCTGTAGGCAGCTCCAGCATGCAAGGACGGGCTACTGCTAAAAGTGCTGCCCCTCCGAATTCTGAGCCTAGTATGACCATAAAAGCTTCAGCTAAGAGTAGAGACCCCAGGCTTCGATTTGCCAATTCTGATATGGGTGCCTTGAATCTTAACCAACAACCCTCGACAGTAGTGCATAGTGCACCTAAAGTGGATTCTGTTATAACGTTAAGCTCAAGAAAGCAAAAACCCCTGGAGGAGTCTAGATTTGATGGTCCTGCATTAAAAAGGCAAAGGAATGCATTGGAAAACTCAGGGATTGTTGGGGATGCAAAAACTGCTTCTGGAAGTGGTGGCTGGTTGGAGGACATTGTTGGCGTTGGACCTCATTTAAATAGCAAGAACCAGACTCTGGAGAATGCAGAAACTGATCTCAGAAAAGCGGTTAAGGTTTTAAGTAGTCCTAGTATTGTTGATGGCAACACCAATGGCCCAAACAGTGCAAATGAGCATGTGTCGTTGATGGGTGCAAGCACGGCTTCCCTGCCTGCATTATTAAAAGATATCGCTGTGAATCCAACCATGCTGTTAAACTTACTTAAGATGGGACAACAACAAAGGTTAGCTGCAGAAGCCCAGCAGAAGTCTGCTGATCCTCCAAAAACTACGACGCATCCTACAAGCTCAAGTTCAATACTGGTATCAGCTGCATTAGGGAATGTTCCTTCAAAGACCTCAGGGATTTTGCAGACACCTGCAGGAACACTTCCCGTTAGTTCACAAAAAGCTCTAATGGTGAGTGCTTACTTATATCCCTTTTCCTAACTAGATTGAGCTAAGTATGTGCTTCCTTTGCAATTTTTCCCTACTTTTGATGATCTCTATGATTATTCCTGTTTTTTTTTTTTTTTTCTTTTTTTCTTTTTTTTTTTTTTTAAAACTCGTTAGATATGAATTTTAGAATAATTTCTTCAGCAGTAAACCCAAATTCCGTTATTTTAGTCTCATATTGTAAAATTTTATTTTTATTTTTTCTGTGGGAGGTTTGTTAGATTTCTTTGTTTGCTATATTTATTCATGAGCCCCATTACAAGTAATGCAGAAACTCCTTGCATTTTAATAATTTACAACTTTTGCAGGATGAGTCCGGAAAAGTCCGCATGAAACCCCGCGACCCTCGCCGTGCTCTCCATGGTAATGCACTTCAAAAGAGTGGGAGTTTGGGACATGAGCAGTTCAGAAATATTGTACCCCCATTGTCAAGCATCCAGGGGAATAAGGATAATCTGAATGGTCAGGCGGATAAGAAGCTAGTGACTGCACAATCATTAGATGCCCCTGACATTACACGTCAATTCACAAAGAATCTGAAAAATATTGCTGATATTATGTCTGTTTCTAATGTATCAACAAGTCCAGCAATAGCTTCTCAGAGTGTTTCTTCCCAACCAGTTCCAATCAAGCCAGAGAGAATAGATCTGAAACCTGAGGAGCAGCGTCCGGAAAGTATTTCTGCTTCTGAAGCAGCTGCAGCAGGTCCCTCTCGTTCGCCGGTCATGTGGGGAGATGTTGAACATCTGTTTGAAGGATATGATGACCAGCAAAAAGCTGCTATCCAGAGAGAGAGAACAAGGAGGATAGAAGAACAGAAGAAAATGTTTGCAGCACACAAGCTCTGCCTTGTCCTAGATCTAGATCATACACTTCTTAATTCAGCTAAGGTAGTGTCTTGTTGATGTACGGAGTTGGTCTTTTGTGGCCTGTTATTCTAAAGGGATATTTCCTCTATAATTTTGTTATAACTTAGTTTATCCTTTTCAGTTTGTTGAAGTAGATCCAGTACATGATGAGATTTTGAGAAAGAAAGAAGAACAGGATCGTGAAAAACCACAGCGACATCTCTTCCGATTTCATCATATGGGAATGTGGACCAAATTGCGGCCTGGGATCTGGAATTTTTTAGAGAAGGTAATTTTGAATATAATTTTATGCATAAATTATGATTTTATGGTTGATTTGAAAGTGGAGTCATTGCGTTGCCTCTTTGGACGTCAGGCTAGTCAACTTTTTGAGTTGCATCTTTACACAATGGGGAACAAGCTATATGCTACGGAAATGGCAAAAGTGCTAGATCCAACCGGGGCCCTTTTTGCTGGACGAGTTATTTCTAGAGGCGATGATGGGGATCCTGAAGATGGTGATGAGAGGATTCCCAAGAGTAAGGATCTTGAAGGAGTTTTGGGTATGGAATCAGCTGTTGTAATTATAGATGATTCTGTGAGGGTCTGGCCGCATAACAAACTGAACTTGATAGTTGTAGAACGGTAAGCATTCCTTGATTTATGATATAAACTTTACTGTCTTTGTGTTTTGATTGGCTTGCTTTCCTTGTTACCCAATTCTTACGTATTGTTATTATGCAGGTATACCTACTTTCCTTGTAGCAGACGACAATTTGGGCTTCTAGGTCCTTCTCTTCTTGAGATAGATCATGATGAGAGACAAGAAGATGGGACTTTGGCATCCTCATTGGCGGTGAGGATGCTGTTCAACTCTTTGAGATTGCAAATAATTGGACATCTTTCTGCTTGATTATCTGTTCATTTTCTTCTTTTGGTTTTTAAGAGGATACATAATTATCTGTTGTTCTGGCTATAGGTTATTGAGAAGATACATCAGCTCTTTTTCTCCCATTCCTCCCTAGATGAAGCAGATGTTAGAAATATTCTAGCCTCTGAGCAACGGAAGATTTTGGCCGGATGTCGTATAGTATTTAGCAGGGTCTTTCCAGTTGGTGAGGTCAAACCTCACCTACATCCTCTGTGGCAGACAGCTGAGCAGTTTGGTGCTGTGTGTACCAACCAGATAGATGACCAGGTCACCCATGTAGTTGCCAATTCCCTTGGGACCGACAAGGTACTGTTTCTCATAATCTTCTGCCATTAGAACCAACTTCTAAGACTTGAAATATTATTTAGGCGGATTATTTAGATATCTTATGTGAGGTATACCCAGCCTCACTCACAATAACTGAAAAAAAGAAAGAAAGAAAGAAAGAGAGAGAGAAGAAGAACCCAAAACTCCATCACCTCTTCCCGAAAAACCCTAAAAAGGGAAAGAAAAAAAAAAGGGACTATTTAGAGATATTATTTCAGTGTTTTCCCTTCTTCCCCCGGTTCTGCTTTCTTCTGAGTGGAGGCATGACATTAATTGTTTTGATCAGGTGAATTGGGCTCTTTCTTCTGGAAAATATGTTGTCCATCCTGGCTGGTGAGAGATTTAGACCTTTGCTTATTTATTTGTTTATTTTTCATTTCCTTGGATTTTGGAATTTGACATGGCCCTTTCTTTTCCATTATGAACCAGGGTGGAAGCATCGGCTTTGCTGTATCGGAGGGCAAATGAGCAAGATTTTGCCATTAAACCATAAACAATCACCACCCTAACCCCTTTGATAAACTAAAACTGATTAACAGAGAATCAAGAATCACCCCCGGGATGGAACAACCCCTTAGGTCATGATGGGAGCAGCCAACCCTAAACCTGACCCTGCTTGGCCCTGTTTTGATTCACATTTTCCTCCCATGAAGTGGCAGTTGCACATTAAATTGCCTGCCAGTTTTCTTAAGCGTGGGAATGAACCTTGAGTCCCCAAAGTTTGCCTTCATGATGGGTTGTATCTCCAGAAGAGGAATGAGGTGGGGAAACTCTGGTTGAGCTTGGTGGTTCTGGTTGGGCGTTGAGGATTGTTTCCCTATCAAATTAGGGGTTTCCCTATTGAATAAGAGAGATTGCTTGCCTGACAAATCCCAGTCACTTGGGGGAACAAAGATTGTGTACAGAATGCAAGTTTTCGAGATCCAAAACGTAAAATAAGAGATTGAAATCCAGAGACAAACCCAAGTGATGCTGGTTGGAACTTGGAGGTAAATTACAGTAGATGATGACAACGGCATGAAGAGAAATGTGGGGATAGAAAACTGTATATTGGGTTGGGGGGATAGCAAGGGAGAAATTGGTCATTCAAAGCTTGAGGCAAGTACTTGGATATATGGTCGGGTCATTTTGGGGGGAAAATGACCGGGCTGGTTTGTGATGGTTGCCTGGTTCAGCTAACTTTTCATTTAACTATTGCATCCCACCTAATTAAATTGGTTTGCCAAAAAGAAAACACCCTGAATAAACGAATTTGAATACACAAATTATCCAATGAAAGAATTTCTGCCTGAATTAACTTTTCTTTCTTTTTCAATATCTGTAGGAAAGAATATCCTGAATGTTTTTTTTTTTTTTTTTTTTTTTTTTTTTTTTTGAATGAAAAAAATTTTTTTTTGTTTTTTTTGCCCAGAGCCTCGGCTAGCCTACATGGGTACTTATTCTAATCTCAATCAATTTTGAATGATGCTGACTGCTAAAGTTCTATGAGGCTTTTTACGACGAGTAGTTGTCAAGAATTCAATGAGATTACCTGAATAGAAAAGTCACCCGATGGGTTGCCTAAAACTTGTTTGGTTGGTGAGAAACCCAAAGAAAATAATAAATTCCCATTGAGGCCAAACCTGTGGACCCGAGCTGAGCTTGGGATGAGGAGGAAAGTGAAATTAGCATAAAATCAGTAGGGATGTGAAGATCAACCTCTTGTCTATTTTATGTGATCCCCAATCTCCTCACATTCTTTTCTAACGGGCCATTAAATTCTCAAGAATCTGCATTTAAATTGGCAGTGAAAATCTAAGGGATTCACATTTAATGCGATAAATTAACTTCTAAAAATAACAAAGACTTCTTGTGACTTGTCAATTTCGTTCAAATCAAAACCCATTGATTATTCCAAATTAATTTAAAAAATTATAAAGTTTGATTCAATATAAATAATATATATATGTCAAATTTCTAGCCAAATACATTTTTTTTTTAAACGCATGTATAATGCATTCATTTGTTAAAGGAGGAATTTAATTCAAAATCATAGAAGACTGTTTAAATTCAAACTCAAACTCAAGAACAGTTTGCGCCCACAGGAAGTTTGAGGGTTTCTAAAGATTCAACGCTATTAAGTTGTCGTATTTTAGATGGATTTTATTTTATTTTTTTGAAGTCCTGAAAATCAGGATAATATTGACAGAGAGTGTTATAAGTCAATACAGATTCAAAGAAACAGGGTTTCATATACAGCTTATATATAAATAGTGCCCCCAGCAGAAACAAAACCTCAGTGGAGGGAGAAGGTTTTATTGTGTAGAAGACGATGGGTTCAATAGAGACGAACAGAGAAGACCAGGCTGCGTCTTTTTCATGGTGGTGGGATAGCCATAATCATCCCCATCAATCTCAGTGGCTTGAAGCTACTCTCTCAGGTTTCTACCTTTTCATCTTCCTCAATCCTCATCTAGGCTAGGGTTTCCAGTACCCCACCCAAAGTTCATTAGTTTTTGCACGTTTGATTTGTTACATTATGCACACAGATTATTTTCTTTGTTTCCTCCCGTCTCTAGATTTACATTAGAATTCTTTCTCAGTTCTTCATGGTGCAAATGTGCATGGCTCATCATACAGTTCTTCGGTCGTTTCGATATTGTACGAACTTAAGAATCCGTTTGATCTTGCCCGCGGTTTATCAACCGTGGGGAGCATAATATTCAGAGTCTAATAGCAGGATTATTGAATGGGATTTTGATTTCAGTTACATGATATGTCACCCAAATGAAGGAGTGAATTCTAACCATACAGAGATGTGATATATTTTTGCAGATTTGAACGAGAAGACTAAGCTCATGCTAAATATTATAGAAGAAGATGGAGATTCATTTGCAAAGAGGGCAGAGATGTTCTACAAAAGAAAACCTAAGCTGATAAACTTGCTAGAAGACTTCTACAAGTCGCACCGCTCGCTCGCTGAGAAGTATGATCAGCTTAGGTCTGAACTAATTCAAGCCTCCCATCTGAGATCATTTTCTTCCTTACACTCCTTGAAAGTCCAAACCATCCACAGGTGTGAAAAGGAAGTCAAGGCTTTGAAGACACAGCAGGCTGAGACAGACCAAGAATCCTATGAAGAATCCGATGGTGAGAAAATGTGGGACGAAAAGATCTCAGAACTCATAGATGAAAATATTCAGCAGCAGGCTGAGTTGATAAGGAGAAACAAGTACCAGAATGAAACAATTCAGAAGCTGAGGGATGAGAACAAAAGGTTGAAGAGTCCTCTCGCAGGGCATAAGGCCGATGATCTCAAAAGGCAAAACCAATCTCAGTTTTCAAGGTCCAAGTCCAAAGGGCCTTCTTTCCTTGGAAGGCTCACTGGATGCACTGGCTCTTGATCTTGATTAATTGGATAACCTTTCAATTTTAAACATACATTATCTATTATCATCATACATATGCAGGTTCTTAGTATTTGACCAAAAAGAATGAAGCTTCTTAGTAAATTTGAATGTTCACCTTACCAAATTTTTTGCTAATGTCTGATTTCTTAGATATTACTAACATTATGTGACGGTGTTATACTCAAACTCAAAACCTACTCGTAGTGGTTAACTTTTGGTATGCTTTTGCCGTGTTTGTTTTAATCTATTGTTGATGTTTTCCTACCGGGCTTCTTGTTCATTTCTTTGTTTGCTTTCTTTCCTAGACCCGCGATTGCTGCGGCTTAGATCTGTTTCTTGATGTCGGGCGGGCTTTGTGGTATTTTTGGTTTATAACTAGCGGAGTATAGTACTAGCAAGTACTAGAGGGGGAGTCCAATTGGCTTTCTTTTTAACTTTGCCAAAGTGAATTCTCATGTAAGATTCACTTCTCCATTAGGGTCAAATTTCAGCTACGAGTTCCTTATAACCAGGTCAATATTTTGCTCGAAATCAATTATATCGATAATCCTATTTTATAGATATTGAGTCTAATTGCTAAAAGTATACATTGATCATTGTCGATACGTTAATAAATTGGTTCAATTTGGTTTCCACAATTTGAGATGTGACGAGAAGAAAAGAGATTTTCAAATGATAACGATGACAACGACAATAACGATGAGAAAGACAATTGAAGAGGAGGGAGGGAGATCTCTAATTTTAGTTGGTGGTGGTAGCTAAGAAGAATTTAAGGGAAGGAAAATTTGAGGACGAAAAATAGGTGCAAGGACTACGGTAATTTTTTAGTATTAAAAAAGAAAAAGAAAAAAAAGGACAGTTTCGGTTCGGCAGTCACTCATTGTTTTGATATTATGAATTGATTTCTAAAATTATAAACTAAATCGGACTGGCTAAAGGCAGGTAAAATGTTATTAGACGACCCAAAAAAATTGCTAAAATGTAATTAATCCTATGTAATTTTTTTTGGACTGAAATTTATAATACTGAGGTTATAGTATGTTACATAAAACTGCATATTCAATCTAATTATCATGATTTCCAAAATCAAGCCCAACATTACCATAATTAATCACCCTTATTTACTCTAGTTTTACCAAAATCACACTTGGACCAAAAAAAGGATAGCGTATAGTAGAGTTTACAGACAGCGGTCTGTCCAAGGAGACCCAAAAAATCTCTCTCTGTCTCTCTCTCTCTCTCTCCTCAGTCTCAGCTTAAAGCTCCGAACTTGGAGCCTCCCTGTCTACGTTTCTGCAAACCGACGATCTAGATGCCCATTGCCTATATTTATATTTAACTAACTAACTGACACTATATGGACCGGAGACGAACCGACAGTCCGGTCTACGCCCGCCAATGGACGAGCGAGTCTAGCAGCACTCTCGGCGGCGCCACATCTCCGGCAATGTCTCCGGTGCGTGGTCACCACGCTCGGTCATCCTCCGCCAGCGGCATCTCCAACATCAAACGCACTCAGAATTTTGCCGCCAAGGCAGCGGCTCAGCGCCTCGCTCAGGTAATGGCCTCTCAGACCGCCGACGACGATGACGACGAAGAGGACGACCTCGGATTTCGATACAGTGCTCCACCGCCACTCTCTCTGTCAAGAAATGTCAACAGTCCTGGTGCTAAGCCTGTAGCTCCGTCTTCCAGGACCACTACTAGATCGCCTTCGCCCGTGGCGGTAAATCTCTGAGCTCTCAATTATGTGTGTATTTTTTTTTCACCTGAGATTTTCAAAATTGAAATTTGTCTGTGGTATAGTAATTAATTAGTAGTTAAATGAGTTGGTTGAAGTGAAAGCTTGAGTTTTTGAGGCAGAAGAACATAATGTGGATTTTAGTTGCTCTTTGTACTTGAAAGTTCTGGTGCCACATTGCTCTTTGTATTCTGATTTACTCTCAATTATGTCAATTTCTGCTCTTGAGTTTAAATATGATAAAAAAAATTTGTTAGTTTAGTTTTTTTTTGAGAAATTTAGGATCTTTTCTGGGTTCAGAGGATTTTACTGAGTCCAATAGTTGATTGACTGTGAATTTAACCGGCTAAGCCCTTTTTCTGGGTTGGTTTTGGAGGGGATGTGTGTGTCTATGAACTGGTGATTTGAATGGTTGGGGAGGTTTTGGTTTCAATGTGGGGGGCTGATTGCCTTTTCTGATATTTGATTAGTTAGCACAAAACCCTGTAGAGGAAACTCCACAGGTTCGCTCAACATCAACTGGAAGGCCATCAATGTCTCTCCGTGCAGCACCTCCATTGGCACCACCCAATAGAACATCAGTTAGGACTGCAACTTCCATGCCACCATTGGACCCTCCCACCAATAATAGGAAAAAAGAGAATCGGTAAACAATCTTCTTTCTCATGTCATTTATATAATTGAACAGTTGAAGGTCTGCCATTACTATATACTACATGTATCTAAAAGGTGTAGGAATAGGCTATAGGATACTTTCTTTGCATTCTATTAGTGTTTTTGCTCATCTCGTAATTTACCTTAATTTTCATTGTCATTCTTTTTCAAGCTTTTGAATGCACGCATACTACGTAAGCAGCCCAATGTTTTGCTAATAAGGTCCTTTTTAAGG